GTCAACGTTTTGATCGTGTGCCTTTCAATAACGGAGGCAGAAAATGAAGGAAATGATGCGTTACATTCATAACCCACCTCCAGGATCTGATCCAGTACATTCTCCACGCTAACCCTGCGCCGCGAGTGAACCAGCGACACCAGCCGACACCAGCGGAGCGGCGTCCTCAGTCCAGCATGTACTTACATTCTACATCTCATTGGAATCGCAGTAGGAATTGGGCTTTGCTAGCGTAGGTGGATGCAGTTCTCCAGTGGTTGTGGACTCTGGTTTGGCCTGAAGACCCGGGCCGACGGAGTCTCCATCAAGGCTTCTTGTCGATGGTGTGGAAGAACCACTCGGTGAACCTCCGGAGCTGAGCGGCCGCGGTCTGGCTCTCCTCCTGCAAACGCATGTTGTCCTGCCGCAGGTTCTGCACCTCCACCTGCAGGATCGCCTTGTCCTCCTTCTCCTGCACACACACACACACACACACACACACACACGAGCACAAGAACCGCTTGAGAAAAGAGTGAACTAGCGTTTTATGGTGATGCTTATAATATGATATCGCTATGTGGAAACGAGCAGCTTGGAGATTCTTCGAGAAAGTCAAATCGAACAGGGGGAAGGGCATGAGAGTAAAGAAAACATGAAAGAACTGGTGTAGAGTTTAAAGGGGGGGGTGAAATGCTATTTCATGCATAGTGAGTTTTTTACACTGTTAAAGAGTTGGATTCCCATGCTAAACATGGACAAAGTTTCAAAAATTGAGATTGTACGTTTGATTGAGTATTTCTGTTCTCAAAATACTCCTTCCTGGTTGTCACAAGTTTCGGAAAGTTTTTTTCGAGTATGGGCCTGTATGACGTCAGATGCGCCGGAATGTCCTTATACGGTCCTAAGGGCACTTCTCTCGGAAGGGCGCGGGCGCAGCTGTAGAGCGATAGCCGTAACCTGTGCCCATCAAAGCGCTGTGCATCGGCTGCGCTGCAATATGTCACCAAAGAAGTGTGTTTTCGGTTGCCAAGGCAAGACAACACTGCACAGCGTTAAGGGACCAGTGGGTGGAGTTTGTTTTTCCAGAACATCAACACAGTTGTGCAAGTGTTCTCGTTTGTTCCATGTATTTCGAGGATGATTTTTTTTATAAACAAGGCCCAGTTCGAAGCCGGATTTGCTAATCGTTTAGTTCTCAAGGATGGAGCGGTCCCTAACACTAAAGGTGGTCTTGCGTTGGAACCGCAGGCGGTGAGTAGAACTGCTTCAAATATCTGTGTGTCTATCGGCGTGTTAGCTCCGCCCACACGGCACGCCTCCACCCGCTCGGCTTTTTCCGGAAAGACTCGGTACAGCCTATCTTTCTTTTATAAATATAATAAAACTAAAGACTTTCTGGAGATATGATGGATGCAATATTACTCTTTAGGTACTCAAGATTAACATGAGATTGACTGAAACTGAGTGTTTCACCCCCCCCTTTGAGATTTAGGGATATTTGTCTTCAATAACATGTCTTCTTTCAGACTTGTGGTGGTGAATAAACTCCGAAATACACATTTAGGTCTTTATTTTACTACACTGTACCCTGTCACCACACACACCGTTAGAAAGCTCTCTCTCTCTGCTGTACAATACTGTCGGATCCAAACATGGTCATTTCCTTTTTATCAGCAACAATCGTGAAAGTAAAAGGGGGGATTTAACTCTAAATGCGTAATCTCATTGGCTGATGCTAAATCTTTAAAGCCCGTTTTCTCAAAATGACTTTTCTCTCATACTCAAAGTCCGAAATCTCCACTTCAGTAGCACCTATACACACCAAACCTTCCAGTCTTGTACCTAGCTATATTATTAAGACATTTACAGAGGGATTTGTACATATATTATTCATAGCCTGATTTATATAACATTTTATTCCAAAAAACATGGTGAAAATCATTTTTTTAAGGCTATTGGCAGTATATTCTGATTTACAGGATAACAAAAGTAGATATCCATAAATCCCTCTGTAATTTGTTTCCCATCTATTATGTAAGCACAATGAAAAAATCATTTTGAACCTGGCTTTATCCAATACTCAGATTTTGTTTTTTAAAATATATGCAAATTTGTGCATATTTAATTAGATAATGCCTAATTTGCATATTCAAACATTAAATTACAGAAAACATGTAATACATTTTTTTCTCATCTTAATGTAGGTAATCAACTGGGAAAGTTTCGTGGTGATATCTGCTAGGGTAAAACAACGACCCTATTCACCTGAAGTGTCTCGCCTTAACGTAGAAATTGCTAGCAAATTTAACAAAAGTAATCGACACAAAACAGCATGTTACAAAATTAAAAGTGATATTTTGAAGGCTCAAATTGTATTTTCTTGTAAAACTCAATAATTTTAAAACAATATTTTTTTTATTTACAACTTTTTACAGTGTCTAGGACAGTAGCGGTTTTAGGCACGGGCGAACCGGGCAGTCGCCCGGGGCGGCATTTTTTCATGTCACATGGGGGGCGGCACGAGCAGTTAAAAAAAAATCCTCTGCGCCGCGAAGGTTTTCTATTTTCTATCATTTCAATTCAATTATTGGCAATTGCACCCCTGCTTGCTGAGAAGGTGCCGTGCACAGAAGCGATGTCAAGGGGGTCTCCTGATTGGAGGAGCTCACCAAGGGGCCGTTCACATATCGCGTCTTTTGCGCGCTCGAGGTCGTTATTTCAAATGTAGGCGCACGGGAAGCGCGCTCATAATTGAAGCGACGCGCTCATTTTTTCCAGGAGCAGCGAGATGAACATTTTTAAACTTTTCAGGATGGGGGTGCACCCAAACACGTGGGTGTTTTTCTCTTCTCCGTAAATAAATATTTTAGCAGAGCTACAGCAAGCGTTTTTCTGTGGTGGAAATCCATTAGCTACTAAAACTTCTTTGTCGTTGTGGAGAGCGCAGGGCATGGTTGTATAGCAACGACAGCCATTGGAAAATCGGACCGAATTTTACTATTAATAATAAAAAATAAGCTACTGTGCATTATAAATGTCAGGAATTTATCTTTATTGACCCATTCTTTTTATAAAGATGATTTAAAGGCTGAAATATGTGAGGTTTATCTTTTTATAAAACCTTTTTTGTCAAAAGTTTATTTGAACGCGTACATGTTAGTAGATAACATAAAACACACTCCTTTAAAATCTGGCCATCATCTTTAATGTTATTAACTTGGTGAATTGATTTCATTGTGTATTAGGCCTACTTTTTGAACAAGATTCTGTGTTTAACCGTGATCATTTTGGTCACTATATTCATGAAATGAAAATAATTTTCATAATGATCAACTAAAATCAACTATAATTATGTGTTTTTACAGTAGCCTATAATATGCAAAGTACAATTCTCTATTAAAAAATAATCTCTGATTCTGTCCTTTTCTCTGACATTTAAGAGTGACATAGGCCTACAAAAGCTATTATAGGTCTAAAACAGTTTGGATAGTTGTTAATATTAGAGTTATTAGAAATTATTTAAGAGATAAGTATTGTGTTACTACATAAGTATGGGATGATTATAGTATCAAAATGATTAACACGTGCAAGCACACTTATCAATGAACTTGATACATGTTGCAGAAATGTTTTATCCATGCCTTTCAACTTGTGTGTGCAAAATTCAAAATTGAATGAATGTGAAGCAATTTGTACAAATAGAGACATTTTTGTGAATACAAATGTTTTCCTTTGTATTAGTGTATCATAATTTGCACATGCAACACAGAAGACGTGCATGTGTGGATCAGGTGACGCGCGTGCATTCATTGACTCGATTCTGAGTCGATCCTATTTGATTCATTTGGATTTTGAGACTTTCATTTCGCGGGTTTCGCCTTGCACGATCCACACACAGCTGTCTGAGAAAAGCTGCTACCACTAGATGGCAGTATTCTGCTAAAACAGACAACGGCAGCATAACCAAGCGTTCCTCCGCATTTAAGACGCTTAATGAGAGTGATATTGAAGCACCAAATTTAGTACACAATAATATAGGCCTACCCTATTAATAAAGCATACTTTATAGAGGCAAACATTACGTCAGATTGCTCTCCCATTCACATGCAAAGTTAAACGCAACTGCAGAATTTTTATTTCATGTTAAGCTTTTTCTTTTTAACAGGCTCGGGAAGGAAAATGTTATTAACTTGAAACGCCGTACATTGCGTTCATGTAGTCTCTTGTCTGTAGGCTATATAGTTTTCCTCCCATAGAGCATATTATAAAGAAAAAGCTTAACGTCAATGCAGTAAGACGGTGATATTTAAACTCAGTAGCCAATACACCTTACTGAACATGCAACGCGCGATTGCACGTTAAGCGTTTTTATAATGGTTTTCTATGGGTGTTGTTCATAATCTGACGTAATGTTTGCCTCTATAAAGTATGCTTTATTAATAGGGTAGGCCTATATTATTGTGTACTAAATTTGGTGCTTCAATATCACTCTCATTAAGCGTCTTAAATGCGGAAGAACGCTTGGTTATGCTGCCGTTGTCTGTTTTAGCAGAATACTGCCATCTAGTGGTAGCAGCTTTTCTCAGACAGCTGTGTGTGGATCGTGCAAGGCGAAACCCGCGAAATGAAAGTCTCAAAATCCAAATGAATCAAATAGGATCGACTCAATGAATCGAGTCAATGAATGCACGCGCGTCACCTGATCCACACATGCACGTCTTCTGTGTTGCATGTGCAAATTATGATACACTAATACAAAGGAAAACATTTGTATTCACAAAAATGTCTCTATTTGTACAAATTGCTTCACATTCATTCAATTTTGAATTTTGCTCACGCAAGTTGAAAGGCATGGATAAAACATTTCTGCAACATGTATCAAGTTCATTGATAAGTGTGCTTGCACGTGTTAATCATTTTGATACTATAATCATCCCATACATAAGTATCTCTCGGCCACTTTCACTTTTAAAAACTCTATTTCGTGACAAAGTATTGTTTAACAAGTCATAACTAAAAGTGTGCCAATTCGAGGCAGTAACCAATGAGCTAATGGTTCCTCCATGAAAGTTAGATTAATATAGCAAAATAACTGGATTTTCTTACTGTTTTTTTTTTTTTTTTTTTAAATGAATGGTAAGTGATTTTATTGTTGGGGTTTTTTTTCTGTTCGGGGGGTGGGGGGGCGCTCGAAGGGGGTCTCGCCCAGGGTGTAATTCAATGTAGAACCGCCACTGGTCTAGGCTAAAGCAGATTTGAAAACTTTTAGATAATACAGATGCCCAAATATTCTCAAATTCTGTAAATTCTGAAGGATGTAATATTGTCAAATTAGAAATGGATAATACTGTAATTTTTATTTATTTATTATATTTTATCAAATGTTTATTATTTATTTGATTTAGTAATTTTTTCAGTATTTTTTTAAAGCGGCAATTTTTTTCATGACATTTTATCTTATTCTTTTTTATTTTTTACCCAATATTATGAGTGCTAATAATGTCAAACAGTAATATAGTGAAGGCAGCAATGCTGTCAAATTAGAAATGGATAATGCTGTAATTGTTTTATTTATTACATTTTAATCAAATTTTTATTATTTATTTTTTTGTCATTTTTACAGTATTTTTTTAAAGTGGTTATATTGTCAAAATCGAATATTTTGAAGATGGTAATGCGGTCATTTTTATTCTCAAAAAGTTGAAAAAACCTCTGGAATGAAGTATTTTAGATATCTTACAAATTTCACCTTTGGAGTATTTTGCACCGAGATGTTATTTAAGAGATGGAAAAGTTTAACAAATAGAACAAATGGCACTAAGTTCTAGAAACCTTAAATGAATATAGATGATATACGACTCATGTTCATAAGGCCCTTTATGGTCGTTTAGAGTAATTGTACACCAGCTGTACGTATATATGACGTTATTAGCGACTCCATCATGTGCATCATCGTCTGGTCAGAGCATTTCTGGTGTTCTGCTGATTGAGCGAGAGCAGTGATGTAAAACCACATGAAGCAGGACAAGGGCCGACAAGGTGGCGATTCTCCATGCTGGGTGTCCATTACGACACGCTTCAACACATTGTTTGCCTATCCTTCCCCTCAAAACCCTTCCTCCTGTGAACTCACAATCACAGTTGACGTACTTCCTTGCATTTACAGTGAGACGTAGAGAAAACCAGCTATTGTTCTCCATTAGCACAGTTCACCTTTTTCAAGTCATACTGCAGCTGTCTCAAGATCACCTCCAGCTGATTGACTTTTCCCGTCAGCGTGGCCGGAGACGTGTCGCTGAAGACAGAGACAGAAGTATTAGGCTATATATAAAATAAAAAAACAAGAGTGTGTAGTGTGATCCGGTACGACTCACCCGGCCTCCAGCGCAGCTCCTTCAGCGGCCGCCACTCGTCTGGTGAGTTCTCGCGAGATCTGGAGCGCTTCGGCTCTCTGCATGTCCGTCATGCTGCAGAACGAGGACACGCGCTGGTCTGGACACAAGCAAAGCAAAGTCAAGTCACCTTCATTTATATAGCGCTTTTACCAATATAGATTGTTTCAAAAGCTGCTTTACAGTGATAATAGGAAATTACAGTAACAGAGATTGTTTTGGGTTTAAAGGGTTAGTTCACCCAAAAATTTAAATTATGTCATTAATGACTCTCCCTCATGTCACTCTTACGGCACAACAACAGTGTCTGGAGGCTCGAGAACGCAAACCTTGAAGCATGTTCCAAGGTGCAAGTCTTGAGGAAAAAAAAGTAATCATCTCCGCGCAAACTTCAAAAACGCAAACCTGTGAGAGCACTGTGCACATGTGTATTACGTGTTTAGTCTATAGGTATGCCCAATTGAATATACAGTATATGTGCGCAGGCGATAGTCTTTCTTTACAAATTGACCTCAACAAATTACTTGTCTGGCCTTAAAAATGTAGAATACAGAATTTTTGGTAACAATTTATTTTTACAGTGTCCTTGTTACATTTATGTTACATGTACTTACCATAGTAATAACAGTAAATTATGCATAATTACATGCAACTAACCCTAAACCAAATCCTCCTAACCCTATAGTAAGTACATGGAGCAAATTATTATTACTCAGTACTTAAATATATAATTACTCTGTAACAATAACACCTTAAAATAAAGTGTTATCGGTTCCGTGATACAAACATCACACACACACACACAGATCAGGTGTGTTCTCAATCTTACAGTCGTCCTACACATGAGCTGGGCTGCTAAAACAAGACCAGACTGCTTCAGGTACCATACCTACACTTTAAAGACTGATGCAATATTTGGAAACAAAGTTACAGTCTCTATAGAGGAGATGCTTTTTTCTGGGTCTTACTGAGACACAGTTGCATTTAAACACTGAGATAAATTTAGCTTACAACATATTTGCCCTCCATTTACATCAGCGAGCACAAATGTGAGTCAACAAGAAGCGCTTAAAAAAATGTAGAACGTTTATAAACATGCATAAACACTCATAAACACTCATAAACAAGTGGGTGACTTGAGACGACTAAGAGTGGTGTGGCTCTTTAAAGGCCCACTGAAGTGCCTTGGCTTTGTGTGATGTGTTGACGTAATTTCCACTGGAACAGGAAGTTAAGGCGGGACATATTGAATGGCTCCTCCCCCCTTTCAAATAGCCAATAGCGTTTAGTTCACCTCACAGACTGCGAGTCGTACTTGACAGCACCATGGAAGCGAATCCGAGCGCTGATGATACGTTGGATTCAATAGTAGAGGTGTGAATAAATTATAGCAATTTCATTCTTAACCAACTTACAGTTGGAAAGCGGAATAAAACTCGAGCGTTTGAGCAACTGAACACACACCTCAACCCATATTGCTCTGTGACGTGTCAACGCCTGCTTTAGCCAGGTGGTATTTATAGCATAGGGGGCGGAGCTTCACATTCTAGAGAGCATGTGATTGGACAGAAGATATGATGAGAAGCTGAGAATTGAGAGACTGTAAGTGTTGAATGCTTATATCTCCTAAATGCGAATTTAGTCATTGTTTTGGAACACACCAGCTCATTCATAACCTTAAGGCTAACATATTCATACTAAAAGCTAAAAAACATACATTTTGATTTCAGAATGCTACTGCCAAGGCTCAAAGTCTCACTGGTCATTCATTACAAACATAAACCAGATGTAAACCCACAATTATATTTGAAAAACTGATCTGAGACCTGATAGAAGACCTGTTTGCCACATAAATGACTATTGTGCAGATGTCAAGGGTTTAAATCTGTTCCCATTGTGTCATGAGATGCAACATGTGTGTAAAAGTCCTAATGACACGCGTTTAGCAGAGAGACGGACAGCAATGAGAATGTGAATACAGCTGTACGTTATTTTATTGCGTCTCGCAAATCAATGCGAGCATATGGAGACAGACGCTGCTGTTGGAAATAATCTGAACGCTTTGAGCAGAATGTAAAGAGTTTAATTTACAGTCGTCTCTCAGGAGATTCCTACATGTGTGTTTCTGATCAGAACTGGCAGTCTTTCATTAAAAACATGACAATAAAACCTCTGTGTGTCTCCCCTCAGAGCTCTAATCATAAACCACATCATGCTTGAGTAGACCACATGTCTACCAGAGTCTGAGTGCTCAAAGTTCAGCATGTTCTGTTGTTTCTTCACAGAAATCGGTGTTTGTAATTAAACACTAGACGTCCCCTGTGTGTCGCCATGTTAATACATTCATGCATTCTGGGACTTGATGGATGTGCTGCATGCAACAGACCCCAAACATGATCGTGACTATTAAAATGCTGCCGCAGTTAATATATAAATACAGTTTATCTCAACCAGTTTTTCATGCATTAAATTGTGTAAATGTCTTTCCTATGCAGGCCAAAATAAAAATACAAAAAGAATCAAGATATAACATTTTCCTTAAAGAAACTTAAGTCTTCAGCATCAATATGTTTTGATTGTGACATTATTTTCATGCCAATTAAGTACAATTATCTCCTGTAATTAACAATACATATAAGGTATATATATATATATATATTGTGTTTTCGTGTATGGAAGCTTGTTTCCGGCACTGAATAATTTTTTTTTTTTTTTTTTAAATTGCGACTTTTTCATCTCACAATTGCGAGATATGAAGTCAGAATTGTGAGATATAAAGTCGCAATTCTGAGAAATAAAATCGCAATTGTGAGATATAAAGTCGCAATTCGGAGAAATAAAGTCACAATTGTGAGATATAAAGTCGCAATTCTGATAAATAAAGTCGCAATTGTGAAATATAAAGTCGCAATTGTGAGATATAAAGTCGCAATTCTGATAAATAAAGTCGCAATTGTGAAATATAAAGTCGCAATTGTGAGATATAAAGTCGCAATTCTGAGAAATAAAGTCGCAATTGTGAAATATAAAGTCGCAGTTGTGAGATATAAAGTCGCAATTGTGAGATATAAAGTCGCAATTGTGAGATATAAAGTCGCAATTGTGAGATATAAAGTCGCAATTGCGAGATATAAAGTCGCAATTATGAGAAATAAAGTCGCAATTGCGAGATATAAAGTCGCAATTATGAGAAATAAAGTAGCAATTATGAGATAGAAAGTCGCAATTGTGAGATATAAAGTCGCAATTCTGAGAAATAAAGTCGCAATTGCGAGATATAAAGTCGCAATTATGAGAAATAAAGACAGAATTGTGAGATAAAAAGTCGCAATTACCTTTTTTATTTTTCATTCTGTGGCGGAAACAAGCTTCCATACTCTCCTCTATAGTTCCTTTTAATAAAAATAAAAATGTAATCCAATTAGAATCACCATTAAAATAATGAAAACTACAAAAGCATCCCAGACACATTCAAGTAATGGGAATTTGGGTGAGAATAAAGCCACAATGAAAACAGTCTTAATGATCCTAAAAATAGGCTTCATTTTGCAAAATTTCTCTTTGATTTTGTGCTTGAATATGACCTCGGCTCAATTTCATGAGATTCACCCAAAAAGGAAAACTGTGTGATGTTCTTTAGTTCATGCAACGAGAAGCTAACAGTGTTTATAGGCTAAATAATTGATTTACGCATGAACCTCAGGTTTAACTCATGAAATGTATTCTGGGATGACCGTGAAAAGCCTTAATATAAGAGACAAATGAAGCTCCTCAGAAACATCAGCTCGGCCCTCATCCTACGACAACAGAGAAAAACAGTTCAATGACTTTAATGAATACAGGAGCCATGAACAAAATAATGACGGCCTTCTTACTAATCCATTTACAGAAATGACAGGCTCACAGAGGAGGGGTCGAGCGTTTCTGAACACCAGAGACATGTGATCACATGCAAATGTCCGAGGGGGGCGGGACGGGCCAACAATTACCCAGCATGCTGTGCTGTGTGAGGGTTTAACTGTAGTTGGCAGCTCGGTGGTCTTTGTGTGAGTGATTCTGGGTGTCTGTCTACACAAACACATATTTAGACCATAGTTTAAGATTTATGTATTTGAATGCATTACAATACATTTGGATTACAGTTTTAACAAAGTAATAAAATTAATGTGATGCTTATTTTGTTTCTCAATGAACTTTTGAACAGATTCCCTGTTGTTTTCTACTATGTGAACTGAATGTACGCACACAGGAAATACTTCCGACTATAGAAATTTGTGCAGGACAAAAATCAAGGCATAGTTTGTTATTAAATATTTGCATCTATTTGATTATATTTTCAACATGCATTTATTCAAATCGCTTAGAATCAGCATCAATCTGTTCATTGTTCAAACCATTACATTCATTCAGTGAAACAGTGTATGAACATGGTTTAAATATGGCATGCTGTTGATCAAGCAATATTCAGTTAGTTCAAATGTATGAGATTGAAACTAATTGGATTTATTGATTATAATATATAAACCTGGTTATAGTGTATTTAAAACTCATTCAGTTTACTATGACCGGTTTCATAAATGCATGTCTGACAAATTAAGATAATTAGTTTATGCATGTTCAAAATGTGTAATCCAAATGCATTGAAATGTTCAATGCATTCAAATACATAAATCTTAAATTTAGGGCTAAATATTTTTGAGTGTGGATAAAAGGATCTTCTAAATGCATAGATGTAAAAGTATGAACCAGAACCTCAGCAAACATAGTTTGCCAGAAAACATTGCTTTTCTTAGCCTTTTACTTTCATTTGCGGAGGATGTAAATAAACTTATAAAATAAACTTATTATTATGTACTGGTTTCTCCATTGTTGCGGCTCCTCTCTTCCCAGTCTGTCAGTAACGCTCTGTTTAGTTCCTGTCTCTATGAAGCCCCTCCTTCTGAAAGCACACTGTGCTCTGATTGGTCGGCTGGATCAGTGTGTTGTGATTGGTCAAGCGCTTTGATTGTGTTTGGGAAATGTCCCGCCCCTTACCATAACCGCCAGTTTAACACACTACTAACTAACTCAACCAGGCCCCGCCCCTTTATTCTGCTTATGAATTATTTAAATGAGGAATATTGTGACGTGTTCGTTCCCGGAAGAAACTCAAGACTACAATGGAGGCGTTTCAGGGAGTTCAGAAACACTGACACTGATATAGAGAAGAACTTTTTTCATGCTCAAACAGCAACATCACACACTAAAGAAAGTTGAACATGTTAAAAAGCATAATAGGAGCCCATCTCTCGCCACACACACAGAGCATTTTCCCACATACCTTCAAAGGCCCTTGCCGCGTCTACGAGGTGAGACCAGTCCAGGCCCGTGGCAGTGTCTGGTAGAGGCATGAGACCCGGGTCGCTGAACTTCGCCCGGTCCGCGAGCGAGCCGTCAGAGAACCAGAACTCATCTATAGAGATGGTTACACACACACAGAGACAGATCAGTGACACACACACGTTACTGTCAATCTAACGGCCTCTTCCATCTCGTGAGCTTCCCCTGGGTATACAGACAACGGACCGGGACAGAAACGGCTCATCGGAGGTCATGAAGGTCATGCTGGAGAATAACCGGCGTGATGAATCAGTCACATGCTGTCTTTACCACATAATGCCTCTTTTTATGAGATCTGAAAAGCGCAACTGACAGCAGAATGAGAGCCAGATCGGATCATTCATTCAAGATCCGCTCGATTGGAGAGGAAAGTCTTCAAGAATGTGGATGGCAGACTACATAGAAGACAAGAGCTGACACTGCGCTCCGAAACGTGATGCTCAGGGTTTGAAATGAACGCTGTCAAATCACTGGTTACTTATTATGTTTATTCACTTTGCTGGGGAAGTTTGTGAAAACCAAAATAGCGAAAATACTCAACGTGAGTCATCATGATTGATTAAATACAGCGTATTGCACAAAATCTGTGTATAATATCTGGCTTACTTGAACACACACGTCACTACGCAACAAATATTGGCACGCTTGTTCATTTGCTTTGAAGCAATAGTGAAGATTAAGAAGCATTTGGTTAGCAGAAAAGACATATTTTCCAACATCCAACTCATTTTTTTGATGTTCTTTGTACTGTATTGATCTGTCCACCTAAAACACATTTCTGGTGAAAAGGATGAGGATGAAAGAGGAAGGGAGGAGATGCTGGATGACAGGATTTAGTTTGAATAAGAAATGAATGTATGAATATATATAGGCCTATATAAGCTGTGACGTAGTTAATCTGGTTAATTTCTTCTTCTTCTTCTTCTTTTTTTGGCTCTCTCTAGCCTGATAGACAGGACATGCCATAAACATTTTCCCATCTCACAAAGAACTCGCTCTGAAAAGGATGTGAGGGAAAACGGCAGAACACTGGAGGTAAATGTGCCCCCCTCTCTCTCTCTCTCTCTCTCTCTCTCTCTCTCTCTCTCTCTCTCTCTCTCTCTCTCTCTCTGTGTGTGTGTTTGAGCCTCAGAGGGACGCAATCTGTCAAATTAGACCATTCACTAGATGAGCAGGGTGAGAAAAAAAAATTCTGCAAACTGCTATCTGTCGAAACAATCAGAAATTGATCACGCGTGACAGCAATCAGCCACCGCGGGCCACTCGAAAACCTGCTATAAATGAATCATCTCTCACACACTGATTAAAACGGTTAAATCTGTTCATATTAGAGATCTTTTAGTTTAAACCAAATTATATGTGATTATTTGCTCTGGTGTGTAACCGTGCCTTTATCTAATATACATTTCAAATGTCGCTCGCAGCACATCTTTATCTATCAAGTTTTACCTCCTTATAAACAAGCAGTGATGGGTGAAGATCTTCAACTGGGGGTTATACTGTCACTGTGGACCAAAACCATATTTAGAGATTTAAGTCACACCTAACACTTAAATAAATAAATAATAATAGTAGTAGTAATAATAATAATAATAATACTATTGATATTATTAAGATATGTTCTAACTTTTTATTAAAAATTAATTAGGAATATATCTATATAAATATATCAACTATAAGTATTATTATTATTAACAATTAATAATAATGAATATTAAATGTAGATTATAAAGATTAAATATATTAACTTGAAGTATTATAATAAACAATAATAAAAGTTTTTATTATTAATAACATAATAATGAATAAGTCATATTAAATATATATAGATACAAAATCAATATAGATAATTGGAAATGTATATTAAATACAGTTATTATAATTAATTATATTAATGCTAATAATGTTATAATTAATTAGGATTATATATAATATATTAAATATATGTACTATAATTAACAATAATATTTTATTAATATTAAAAATTAATAACAACAATATACAATAATTTAAATTTGGTTATTATAATAAATAATAATATAATTAACTACGATTATATATTAATATTAGTATTATAATTAAAATTAATTCATATAAATAATATAAAATATATATATATAAATATATATTTTATATAATGTAAATATAAAATATATTATAGTATTATAATTAATAATAATAATAATAATTAATATTACTGCATTAGACCACAAAATATTAAACCAAGTGTCATTCATTACAGAATAATAGCACAAACACACTTCAAGCAAAACGCTGCTTGTGGCAATGCTGAAAATTGATTTCATACTGTACATTTACAAAAATCACCAGCTTGATGTTGTTCAAAAGTGATGTTAGTGAAGAGAAAAGATTTATACAGACTCTTGGTTTGATATTTTCTTACAATGACATACTGTATTTATAAGTGCGACTTAAATGTCTGAAATACTTTGAGCAGGAACAATCCCAGCATCGGTGCGGTAATAACACATAATCCTGATCCTCATGGCTGTGACAGGTGTCTTCTCTGTGCGGAGCAAGAGCCGCTTTAGCCGTGACATTTTCTTCATCCTGGCTTTTAATTAAAGATGCCGTATAAAAGGACTCACACTGGGTTCTGTCTCACATATACGCAACTGCCTCTCTGGTCAGGAAACGATTCTGTCTGGTTAACCGTATGGGGCTGAAACGCACGGATCATGATGAGAGGCGTTTATGCTTTAGTCTCAAACCTGTCTGGTTTCTAATGGTTTTATTTACAGCGACCAGTGGCTGTTATGCTCTAAATCTCCCCTATGGCTGTGACGCATCTTTGAAATCTGGATATTCAGACATGCTATGTGAAGATGCATCAATGCAAATTTGACATAAATTATGTATATGCCATTTCTCTGCGTTTACACTGGCACAAAAAATCCGATCTTTTACTCACATCCGACACAGATCGTAATATGTTGCACACGTGTAAACGCATAAATCCGCACGAGGTCCGTTTTTTTCTGAGCCACTTCCAAATGTGGTTTTAAACCAAATACATATTCGATATCTGGACACCCGACCTATGTCTAAACACGCATATACGATTCCCCTTTGAATTCAAGCCGACACAAGACGAGCATGACACGTTTATTCACAAATATAGCTTTTTAATGTTGTATTATGAGGCAGACGTGCCTGTGTGCGCTCACTCACAGCTTGTTATTGAGCTGGGAACTTTATATTTATCTTTGTAAAGAAATGGCACGAACACAGAAACATTCAGGAGCTGGTTTTCAACCTCTGCCCGTGACTTTTATAAATAAAACAGCTAATGAAAGCTGCATTATATTTCTCAACAATGAGATGATAACTTTGCTGCAATTAAACCAACAAGCTTCACTATTAGGTTACTCACTCACTCTCTCTCTCTGGTTAATTCATTCGAATTCATAAAAAACAACAACTTTATTTCACCTCAGAATTGTAGATCTGAGCTGTAGATAAACGAAAATGATTTCCGGACTGTAAATCTGTTGCGCTGCAAAACGTCCATGAGTCATGACAGCTGTTATCTTGTCCATGCTGGCAAACAATCATGACCACCCGACATGAATTATATAAATCATTTTTATAACCATATCATTCTGGGCGGGAATTAAAGGATTAGTTCACTTTTAAAAAAACTTTTGCTGATAATTTACTCACCCCCATGTCATCCACGATGTCCATGTCTTTCTTTCTTCAGTCGAAAAGAAATTAAGGTTTTTGATGAAAACATTCCAGGATTTTTCTCCATATAATGCACTTTGCTGGGCACCAAATGGTTCAAGGTCCAAAAGACAGTTTCAGTGCAAACTGCAAACTGTTCAAAGGGCTTTAAACGATTCCAGACGATGAATAAGGGTCTTATCAAGCGAAACGATCGCTCATTTAAAAAAGAAATAACAAAGTTTAAGTTTTATAAGCTCAAATGCCCGCCTTTGCTCTGTTCTGTGATGCACGTTCGTGACTCTCCTGTTCGAACTCGTTCATCAAAATGAACAAATCTTTTTTCGAGTCATTTGGTTCATTTAACGAACGAAATGAACGAATTGACTCGGAAAAAGTTTCGTTCATTTTGATGAACGATTTCGAACAGGAGAGTCACACAGAACAGAGCGAGGCGAGCATTTGAGCTTATAAAACTTAAACTTTGTTATTTCTTTTTTAAATGAGCGATCGTTTCGCTTGATAATGGTAAATGGACTGCATTTATATAGCGCTTTCACAGACCCAATGGCCACCAAAGCGCTTTACAATTTTGCCTCACATTCACCCATTCACTCACTCATTCATACACCGACGGGCGACGGCAGCCATGCAAGGCGCCATCCAGCTCGTCGGGAGCAGCTGGGGTTAGGTGTCTTGCTCATGGACACCTCGACACTTGGTCAGGTGGAACCGAGGATTGAACCACCAACCTTCCGGTTTGTAGACAACCCACATGAACCACTGAGCCACTGCCGCCCCATACCACCCTTATTCATCGTCTGGAATCGTTTAAAGCCATTTGAACAGTTTGCAGTTTGCACTGAAACTGTCTTTTGGACCTTGAACCGTTTGGTGCCCAGCAAAGTGCATTATATGGAGAAAAATCCTGGAATGTTTTCATCAAAAACCTTAATTTCTTTTCGACTGAAGAAAGAAAGACATGGACATCTTGGATGACATGGGGGTGAGTAAATTATCAGCAAAAGTTTTTTTTAAAGTGAACTAATCCTTTAATGTAAACACAGATATCGGATTCCAGTCCTGTGTAAAGTGAATGTAAACAGGAAATGTATGTGAATGTAAACGATCGGATCTCTGTATTAAGACTTGCAGTGTAAATGCAGCCTTATATATACAGTATATGAATGGTAATGCAATGCATTATAACAGGAGTCTGCATGTGACGCCTAAGCATGCCGTGCTGTGAGGTGCAGGACTCACTCTTGAGCTTGGGTGCGGGCTGGTTGAGGCTGATGCGGGGGGGCAGCGTGCTGTGGTACGGTGGAGTGCTAGAGAACAGTATATCGTTGGGCATGGCCTGGTCCAGCATGGAGCTTCGTGAGCTGGCATAGGACGACCCCTTCCTATTACTGCACACACTCTCGTCCGAGAGAGTCCGGTACAGGGAACGCCTCGGTGACAGGCTTCCCGCCGCTGATGCCTGACAGGAGACACGTGAATAATGTAAATCACACAACAATTGAATAAAAAAGCGAAAAACAAAAACTATTCTCATAGCTTTATAACATTACATTTGAACCCCTGTAGTCACATGGACTATTTTAACGATGTGTTTACTACCTTTCTGGGCCTTGAAAGTTGCAATGACTTTGCCGTTTATGGAGGGATCAGAAAGCTCTCGAGTTTCATTATTAATCTCTTCATTTGTGTTCTGAAGATGATGAAGTCTTACGGGTTTGGAACAGGAGGGGTGAATAATTGACAGAATTTTTATTTTTTGGGTTAACTATCCCTTTAATACCAGAAAATTACATTTATTTTAGCTATATTATTGCAAAATTCTTGCTAAGACATATAAACGATGTATATATGCACAAAGTCTCCACTATCGCTCCCAGCAGGACGTGGTTAGTAGGTTTGTTTTGGACTGAATACATGGACAATCCTCATGGTCTTGTGTCGCTAAACAGCAGGATGTTATAAATAAAGCCTGTTCTTTATCTACAGCTGTGCACTATTGAGAGTGTGTTGCTTGCGACTAAAGCAGAGCCATATTCGGTCAGCTGGATGACAGGGGTAAGAGCGGCCCCGGGGCCCGTGCATCACACAGAGCGCACTATCCAGCACATTAGTTAGCCTTCAAGTCTATTTGAAGGGTTCCTGTGGCTCAGAGTAGATCATGGATTGGATTTCTGGTGAATGCATGAACTGATAATTGAATGTTAATAATAATAATTGATTGTTGCTTTGGATAAAAGCGTCTGCCAAATGCGTTAATGTAAAGTGATGAAGTCTAAAAGCTACTGAGCATCCTTAAATGTATACTTAGCAGCAGCATAACCGAAATGAAGCATCATATAAATGAGTGATTTGACACTACATTAGGCAATGCACAACAAAAATAATACTCTTCACGTGACACACACTCACTCACAAGTGATTTCAATGGCCTTAGCCATCTACAACTACAACTTTACAATACATGACATACACAAATCTGGCAAAATAGTATTTAAAAAATATATATTTTAGTAACACAATATACATTACTGTTCAAATGATGGACTTTTTAAAAGCCTACTTATACTTTTATTCAGCAAGGATGCGTTAAATTGATCAAAAGTGACAGCTAAATATTTCTATTTTAATTAAATGCTGTTCTTTTCAACTTTCTATTCATCAAAATTGATTTCCAACATTGATAATAATCAGAAATGTTTCTTGAGCGGCAAATCATCATATTAGAGTGATTTCTGAAGGATCATGTGACACTGAAGACTGGAGTAATGATGCTGAAAATTCAGGAATAAATTACATTTTAACATACTATATTCACATTATTTTAAATTGTAATAATATTTCACAATATTACAGATTTGACTGTTTTTCAATGAAATAAATGCAGCCTTGGTGAAAATATTTAAAACATCACCAAACATTTCTCAACACAGTCTATCATCATTGTCATGTTTTTCTTGTTGCAATGCCAAATTTGGACAAAACGAGGTATCTTAGAAGGTAGCATCACATGAGGCAGCTTCTCATTAAGATCACACAGTGATGCCTGTATATATGCAGTCTAGGTAGACAGCTCACTAGGTAGTCCTACTACATGTCATGTCTCACTGGCATGAGGACAGAGTTAAACACACACTCATGAGCTAATAGGCTTACACTGTGCCAAAGCTATTTAGATACATTGTATATGTTTTCCATTCAGAGCGTGAGCCAGAGGAAGTTGGTTCATTCCCAAGCGGAGTCAGTTGATCCTGTTCATTTTATTTATAGCACACAATACGTCTTCCACCATTTGAGACCTGATCAAAAACGTCAGTCTGCTGAATCGCCATTACCGGAGGGAAAGCAGACGTCATGGCACACGGGATTCAGCAAAGCTAAACGCCTCCGGGCCAGAACCCACTGTTTTCACTTCCTTTAGACCAAAATCCCACTCGAATCCCATCGCTGAACCATGAACCACCCTCAATATTTCCTTCAAGCTCTCTCTCTCTCTCTCTCTCTCTCTCTCTCTCTCTCTCTCTCTCTCTCTCTCTCTCTCTCTCTCTCGGCCTTTTGCACACATGCAACTTTATGAGAGTAGATCCGGTCTGGTCCTCTCGCATTAAAACAGCCTCAAATGGGGTTTAAGAAGCAGCTTCCGTAAAAATAAAACGAGAGCGGGCTTTAGCGCAGCTCCAAACAACATCTGCAAATAAAGCAGTCGAGATCTTACACAACTCACTGTCTTTACTCATCTGGAAAACAGGGCAGCAAATGGTGTTAAAAAATTTAGATTTTTTTTCTCTTCTGTTCACCAAGGCTGCATTTATTTGTTTAAAAATACAGTAAAATCAGTAATATTATGAAATATTATTACAGTTTAAAATAACTGGTTTCTATGTGAATATATAGTAAAGTGTAATTTATTCCTGTGATCAAAGCTGAATTTTCAGCATCACCAGTGTCAGTGTCTTCAGTGTCAAATGATCCTTCAGAAATCACTCTAATATGAGGATTTGCTACTCAAGAAACATTTATGATTATTATCAATGTTGATACACTACAATTAAAAAGTTTGGGGTAAGAAAGATACTTTTATGAAGTAAGGATGCATTAAATTGATCAAAAGTGACAGTAAAGACATTTATAATGTTACAAATGATTTCTTTTTCTATTGTTTTGAACTTTCTATTTATCAAAGATTTGAAAAAAAAAAAAAGTATCACAGTCTCCACGAAAATACGAAGCAGCAATCATCATATTAGAGTGATTTCTGAAGGATCATGTGACACTGAAGACTGGAGTAATGATGCTGAAAATACAGTTTTGATCACAGGAATACATTACAGTTTAAAATATATTCACATAGAAAACAGATGTTTTAAATTATAATAATATTTCACTGTTTTTACTGTATTTCTGATCAAATAAATGCAGCCTTGGTGAGCAGAAGAGACGTCTTTCAAAAACATGAACTAAATCGTAATTATTCTAGAACATTTGACCGGTGATATAGTGATCTTAAATGGTCCTTTTTTCACCTGCTCATCACTCCGTTGTGTTCGAATAAAACCAGAGGATTCATGAAAGTATTGAAAGTATGAACCTCTCAGATCAGACTGGGACCCTTTCCTCCAGCTTCTCAGTGTCTGTAATGTACTTCTCTACAGACGCTCACTCCTCCCGCTCTCTGCCTGCAGTTTCCACGAGGAAGAAAAAACAGATTGACAGTGTTTTCCATTCCGGCTCGCGCTCCACAATGACAGCTCTGTCTCCGGGGGAACGTGTGGCCTTTAAAATAAAAACCCTTCGCTGGTGGAGATCTGTGATGGACCAATAACAGCTGCTTTTGTACAAAATAAACAAACTAATGTTACATGGCATAACTAAACATAAAACAAGCTTACAAATAATATTTCATAATTTGTTTTGTAAGGAAATGGTTTTGAATAGTATAAAGCAGTCAAATCTCTCAAGTACCCCTGATATTTTAAGTTAATATTTCAATAATTTAAAAACATATCATATTCAACTTGTTCACGGCAAGGTGATTATTGTAAGCAAAAACTATAAAAAATTTTTTTATCTGAATTAAAGCTGAAATCAATTAAAATATAAATATTAGATGAAAAACAAAATTGAGAAATGTTTCTTTTGCAACTAACTGAAATAAGTTTAGGTTGAAGCACTTACATTATCAACTGGAAATAATTAAAAACTAAAACTGAAATAAAATTAAATTCAACCTAAATATTAATTTAAAAAAAAAAAAAGAAAAAAGACAAAAGCACATAGCTAAAGATTTAAATGAAAATGGAAAATATTAAAATAAAAGCGAAAAAGTCAAAATATTAATAAAAACTATAATAGCATATAAATTACAGTAAAATAATATTATTTTTCATATATTTAACAAATAATGTATTTGGATCTAAAATTTTATTTTCAAATTAATTATTGTAACTGACCATTTTTAGGATTTATTTTTTTATGAATTAATATAAGTAAAGTAATAATGTACAGTATAGTATTTTTATTAATATTTAATCAGTATTTATTTATAAATATGCATGCAGTTATGAAAATTGAGAGGCTACATGTAATATTTGCACTTTAAAAGATGCATTTATCAAAATGCAGGATTATTTTAAATCTAGAAAAAAACTAAAACAAAACAACGATAACAAAAAAATATTAAATGAGGGACTTAAGAAACCAGAATATCCGAGAGACTTTCAGTGGGCTCTGTTGATTCTCACCCTAGCAACTACATGCAAAAACAGTAGATGTTGGAGAAGTGCAGATGAAGCACAGATTTGAGTTGCTGGAACATGTATGATATCACGCTGGTCTGAAGCACAATGACCTGTCTGCTACTGAGGGCACTGCGACATGACACACACCACTGAAAATAGGGCATTGTGCATTACTCCAGCCTTTGCTGTCAGATAACGGGCCGAGGGAGAGACCCGGGAACTGGGAAACACAATTAAGACAGTCTCCAGGAGCAGAGGGGACTTCAGAAAACACACACTCCAACAACAACTTCCACCCCTGAGTCCTGTCAGATTCAACACGAAGAGAAGAAACACAGCAAGCGCTCGTCAATCAGCTTACCTAAGCCGAATCTGTTCGGTCTGAGACTCGTGTTATCGTGTGTGTGTGTCCAGAAGCGGCTCTGGCTGATAACACACACACACACGTTTGTTCAGCCCTCAATCACTTCACACACTGAGGTTATCAGCGCTAGAGTGTGTGTGTGTGTGTGTGTGTGTGTGTGTGTGTGAGAGACACAGCCCAGACTGAGACTACATTCACATACTAATCAGAGCTAATGGAAAGGCATTATTTGACACCAGAAAGTGCATGTAAACTAATAATTACCATTTACATATACTACAGTATTTAGATGGTACTCCAAGTTACTACTGTCCGTCAAAGACAACCATGGTACTTTTTTTGGGTACAAAAAACAACTTATTACTATAATACATCAAAAACATAGTATTACTATTGTAAAAATATAAAAGCAGTAAAAATAATGAATTCCTGAACCGCAGTGTTAAAGTACAAACACAATAAAGCATTGCTGTGGCATATCAAAAACATGGTTTTACCACTGTAAATGCCCAAAATCACATTACTATCAAGGTACATATCTAAAACACTATGGTATTACCATGGTATTGTCCAACAGTTTTACCTCCAAAAACTATGGTATTTCCATGATACACTTACCAGTATTACCACATCTAAATAATATTGACATTATGTTAAGTCAGAAAAAACATGATTACCATGTTAAATTTCTAAAAAAAACATGGCATTACCATGGGAAAAAAACAAATTACCACAGTAAATGGCCAAAATCACATTACTATTGAGGTACATATCTAAAAACACTATGACATTACTATGGTACTTGTCTAACAAACAGTTTTATCATAGTACATCTCCAGAAACATGGTAGTACCATGATATACTTTTACCACTCTTACCAGTATTACCACATCTAAAAAATATTATGACGTTATGGTAAGTCAAAAAACAAAAACAAAAAACATGATTACCACAGTAAATATCTAAAATAACACGTATTATGTTTTTTTAGACATAATAATTCCATCAAAAATATGGTATTACATTGGTAAATAAATATACTTTTGAACAATAATATTAAAGTACAAAAACAAAGCATTGTTACAAAGAACATAAAAAAATATGAAATTTTTGAAATATGAAATTTATGAAACACTATGATAATACCATGGTACTTGTCTGAAAAACAGTATTACAAAAACATTGTAATACCCTGGTCCATTTAAAAACAAAACAAAAACAAACAACTATGGTATTACCATAGAAAATACATGATTACCCTGGTAAATGTCTTAAAAACATGGTATTATTACAGAATCATGTCCACGAAATCCTGTCTAAATGCCCTTACCAAAGAAGGTAATTCATGGTATTTCAGACATACACCATGGTACATTGCATCACAAATTGATACTAGAAATTGCTAGTAAATTTAACAAATAATTACAAAGAAACGGCAAGTAACACATTGAATGCGTAATTTTGAAGCGGAACGATTGAAATAGTTTTTTTGTCAAATAAACCAACTTTAAAAAGAGCATGTTTGACGGCGTACCTTCCCGTGTCCGCTCTCTCCAGGGCTTTCACACAGCATCATCTTCATGTATTCTTCTTTAGACATGTTGGGCTGCAGACTCGTGTCCTTCGGTTTGTCCCGCTCTCTCTCCTGTATCCGACCGGACGTCTCTCCGGCGTACAGCTCCCTGTGGGAACACACACACACACACACACACACCGATCATAAACACAGGCCCATGATGCTGACGTTCAGGAGTCGGGGAAGAGCAAGGGTTACTCATGCTGGTGGGCAAACATGGAGGATCCAGGGTCTGTCTGGGTCTAATTCTGTCGTCTCTTATATGACAGCATGTGTGAGGCATTGAGGAGACGCACAGTGAGCATTACAGGAGATCTGGTTTGTGTAATGATCATCAGTTTCACACAGAACACTAAACCGTGAGTTAAGAACACTGACATCTTGAGCATGTTTGTAACACATCCTTCCATCGGGTAAAAAGGAGGAAAGGGAGAGATAGTGGAGGGAGCAATGTGACCTTGATAGTGTTGTGACTGCGTGCATTGTGTGTGTGTGTGTGTGTGTGTGTGACTGGCAGGGTGTTAGATAGCTGTCAGACAGTATGCATAAACAAACACACACACAGACTAAAATTACACCGGAACAACACGAGAAATCATATATTAAATACAAGATAAACTCTGTCGACAGTACCTGGAGCAAGACATTAATAATCATATAACTATTTAAACATTAAATATGTGGATAGAGATTAACAACCGAATACATGGCATACTGACAAAACACAACACACACACACACACACATATATAATATATATATATATTAGGGCTGTCAAATGATTAATCGTGATTAATCACATCCAAAATAAGTTTTTTTAACATAATATATGTGGGTGCACTGTGTATAATTATTTTATATATATAAATACACACCCCAACTTGTATATATTTAAGAAATATTTTCATGTATATAGATTTATATATAATTTATATTATATATAAATATAAATATTTTATATATAAATAATATTTTTTTCTTAAATATACATGCATTTGTGTGTATTTATATATATACAAAATAATTATACACAGTGCACCCACATATATTATGTAAAAAAAACTTTTATTTTGGATGTGATTAATCACGATTAATCATTTGACAGCCCTAATATATATATATATATATATGCACACACAATTTTAGCATATTAATTTTATTGTTATCATTTAATAGCTTTAAAAAAGAAATACATATAATTACTATAATTAAATAATAATTATAATTAATAATTAAATAAATATTAATAAAATAAATACTATTTTTGGACACACACACACACACACACACACACACACACACACACACACACACACACACACACACACACACACACACACACACAGGTATTAAGATTATGGTGGATCGGATCACAAGTGGTACAGGTGTAAATGGGGTATAAAACGTTTTGAACATCTGGTTCAAGATCTTGAATGCACTAGTATTTATGTGGGTTAAACCTGCGGTATTCAGTGGCTAACATCCTATCACTGAAGCAGAATCAGTTCAGCCTCGCGCTGACAAACTCAGACAGGGAAAACAGTGACAGGCATTTCCATGCAGAGCATCATTTCTTCTAGAAAGTAACAGGCAAAACGTAAAGGTAACTAATATTCAAGCTGCTCCAGAGTTAAACATACTATAGTAAGTGTGTAAATACTGCAGGTGAGTTAATTAATACTGTGAGGAGGTGTGTGTGTGTGTGTGTGTGTGTCGTCAGGCTAAAAATAACAACTGAGCAATGCAGAGAAAATCCAAACGAGTGCAATAGTGAAGAGGTCGTATTAAAACTCACTCAGAGCCCGCAGGCGCTGGACTATGTCATCACAGCTGTCTGGCACTAGCGCCGTGGCTTCGACACACTTGGTGACCCGTTGGCCTTTACTGGTGTGTGTGTCTATGAGCAACTGTTGATATGAGCACTACAGGCTACGTCTGAGCCTGACAGAAACTGTCGAGGTGAGCAAGGAGACGAGGGTCGGTGTGGCACAGCGGGGAGGATTTCAACTCCAGACATTTACACTCAGTGTGGAGAACAGAAAGGTCAGGGGTCAAAGGGGAAGGTTCACGAACAGCGTGAGCACAAACATACGCAGTGGGGGTGTGTGTATGTACCTGGACCGCTCGGCTAGAGCCTTCAGAAGGAAAGACAACAAGCTCTCGGCTCCACTGAGCAAAAGAAGCCGAGGAAAGTAGAAGAAACAGAATAAAGTTAGCAGCTGGTGAGAGGTTTATAGTGTCAACGGGAAAAAAGCTTCATTAGCAGGCACAATAAGTGTGAGCATTATTGGATGATTTGTCTAGAGGCTGAGTTGCGTAACGTGTTATAAACAAAGAATGGAGATGCTAACTGCATTACAAGGCTTCTTTTATAACAGCTGGCTCAGCCACACCATCAATCTAAGAAGAACAAAAGACATTAGTGGAGAGATGGACCTGAGAGAGTTTCAACAAGAGCATAAGCACACACTCGCGTTTCTAGTAACAGGCGTCTATTGTTTTCAGATAAGTCTAATTATAAATAATTATAGACAATAGAGGGAATCCATTGACGTCACTTTCCCGCAGGACCGCCCCATCAGCCGGACTGAGTGGCAGAAGAGCTGCTGTGTGACTGGAGTTAATGGGAGAAACTGTGAAAACACCAGTAAAACAAACGATTATCAGTTTAAACTAAAGGTTGGACTCGATATAGTGTTTCTTACAGCTTACCAAAGATCCAGTGATCCGTGTATATTGACATGCAGCAGGAATCCTGTTTCCTGACGTTTACATGAGCCTGATTTAAACACCGGGGAAATACATAAAGCCAATTTTCCTGTGAACGCTTTATTTAAATACAATATAGGTCTAAATCCATGTGATCACTTATATCAATGTTATATCAACATATCGTCCAGCTTTAAAACTTGTATAGTTTTTTGTCAGTGTTTATTAAAAAAACATTCAGTTATGCAGCGATGGTAAATATTTAATTGATGAGTTGTCAATACAATATATAGTGTATGATTTTACCCCTAAATTCAGCATATTGACACTAAATAACTGCAAATCCACCTTTCTCTGCCTGGATCCAGTTGTTTCTGTGAATTGCAGCGATCCATTTGCTTTGCTTTTCTGTACCTTTCGGCAGTCTGTAAAAATATACCTCAGATTTCTTGTCAAATCTATTTATACAGTCAATCTCAAAGCTCTTTCCCGTTTTAGAAGTGTTTTGTGTGTTTGTCGGCATTCGCTCTGAACACCAATGCTGTCGCTCAGTGTTTCTGCCACTCAGTGTGTGTGACCGCAGTCGCTCCGGCCGACGGTGACGTCACGCGCACACTCTATAGATAGAATGATAGATAGAACGATAGATAGATCCAACGATAGGTAGAACGATATAGATAGATAGAACGATAGATAGATTCATTCAAATTCCTGTGAGGTGTGACCAATTAAATTCAAATTCACACTTCGATAAGGTGAATTAAGGTATATTGGGCAACTTTTTGACCATCATCTCAATGCCGAAAGTGGCCAAATATACATTAATTCATTCAACATAAATTAATACTAGTTTTTTCCCAGTAACATCATCATGATCTAAAAATAAAAACATCTAAAAGATCTCCACCATGGCTCCCTAAAAAGAGGGGAAGCAAAACTAGAATACTAAAAGAAAAGTGTCTGTGGCTCAATCGTTTCCCCTTCAGGATCTGTTTCGAGTCCAGTGGTAAACACCGATCTTCTGTGTGGAATGGTACAGTAAACAAAGATTCGTGTAGATCAATAATGAGGGGAGACACATGCCAAGTATATATTACGTTTGCGTGCTTACAGAGCTGATTTAGCACAAGAACTCGCTCGGACGAAGCGCTGTTAATCTACTGATGGTTCATTCCAGGCCGCGGTAATACTCGGATCGATAGAGGGAAGATCCGCTTTGATCAGCAACCTATTGCAGATGTTTTTTTTGCCCTTGAAAACTGGAATTGCATGATGATTGTGCCAGAGGAGAGATTAATTGGATAAAAAGAAGTGAGAGACCTTTGCCGGTGGCTAAATCCAGCCTCGGAATAGATTGGTCTCTCCTGGCCTTTTAAACCAGACGCTTAATGAGTCACACTGGCACAAGCTTGGAGGGCAAGATTAAATTTAATCAAATCTAAAGCCCAACCTAATTGTTCACATTAGGAAATCACAATACAACTCCTTTTAAACATAGTTTTATTTGAGTGCTTTACACGCACTAGAGATTTTGAGGACTCAGAGTATGTGGTTATGGCCAATGGTAAATTAAATTATACAACAAATTACTCTCATAAGTGTCTTGGCTTTTATAATGCTGCTTTTAGTGGCCTAAACAATTCAATAAAACCTTCTCTCCGACCATACCAGTAGATGCATCCTATTTAGTTATGCACTGATATGGAAATTTAACTGATATGGAAATTTTGGTTAATACTGATAATTAATGGTCTGTCTGAATACTTGATTCTGATTGGCGGAAAGGTGTGTGCAATAAAACCATTTAATGCACAGGTAGTTCCAAGTCCGTTTAACACACATACGTTTAATGACATCTCACAGAAGCTTGTTGTGAACGCTGCCCCATGACTTTAAATAAAAAATTAACTTTGCTTCTGAATCGCTAGATTATATTACTCAGCAAGTCAAGTCACATTTATTTATATAGCGCTTTTTTAGCAAGGAGGTGCGGTAACGTCACTGTTTTTGAAGTAATTCAACTCGCAGCTTTATTGCTAATAGAGAGATGCTGCACATAATCAGGTAATTCACACACGCATCTCTCTCTCGATAGGCAAATTCATTCAAATAAATGATATGATTCAAACAAATAAATGTAACCTTACCACACTACTTTATCTCTGTGTCTGATTTAAAGTGAACAAAATGCTAGATCTAACAAGTCATAGCTGATGAAAATAACCGCCATTTTAACATTTCCAGTCAAATTTAACACTGTACACATCAATGATACCTTTAACTTGTCAATGCTGGCAAATGACCATTGTATAAATGGGATAATCCACGTATTAAACGATTTAAATAATTTGTTGACTGACATAAAAATAAATCAATGCCTGAATAATGCAAGCAAGTCATTCAAATTTCCTTGAATGTCAAGTAATTGATGACATTATCAAATCAAAATGCATGTGTCATGGATTAATAACATGGAGCGTTTACTCAGATCCAGCATGATAGTGTCTGTATATATGAACGGATAGGTCAACTAAAAATTGTACCAATTGGCTACTTCTTTATGTGAAGGTACCAATCAAAGTCATCATGGTGAGCAGTGTGTATCTGAATTAATATAATCAATAATTTATTGGGTTTAATATATCAGCCTAACTTTCTTAGTGGACTGATAGCAATAACATTAAAAATGATAGCCGATACTGATTATTGTGCATCCCTAATCCACACATCCACACACTCACCCACACTCGGACTGAATTGGGGGCTCGTCCGGGACCGGTTTGTCATCGGCCCTCCTACGGCGGCTGTATGTGTGTACATCAGTGCTGGGCCCGGGCTCCTGGCTACTGTAGGGAACGGCCTGGGCTCCGGGATGTTCTGGAGAGGGCCTAAACTGGGAGCTGTGGGGTAAAGGGCTGCCGGAGTGGTGGGAGCCACTGGCCAGCGCACATGTGATAGTGAAATGTGAGACCCAGCTATCAAAACAATATGAAATGACTTCCTGTACTAATTCATTTAAGCACCGGTGGTTAGATAAAGAAGGGAAATAAATATACAGGTCTGAAAACACCCTCTAAGAGTAATTAGATCAGTAGTGATCTAATTCCAAGAACGATCCCCTGGGATTCTGCATTGACAGTGCTCTGTTCGGGCATCTTTTGAAATGCATTGACAAGACAAACATGCACTCAAAATCACACACATCAGAACTTACAACATGGCTACGAGCAGGACCCTGACCTTTCTACAACAACATGACAGCTGCCATTCTCTCCGGTCCATCTCAAGGAGACTTTTTACCATTTTTCTGCCTTTTATGTAACAGTCTATGCTTTCAAGGGTTTAGTTGACACAACTGTCCTCCAAGAGGCTCTAATAATACTCCCTGAAATAGCATTTGAAGACAACTCATCCTGAGCAATATAAGAACACTCTGAACATAACAGAAGGTAGTAGTTATTTTCCTCCTGAATTGCTCTGCAGTGCAAAAAACAAAAGAGTTTCATTGTATGGATGGAAAATAACCCATGTAAACATTTAAGCACCATACACAAAGCGATCTATATTTCCTAATATCCTAAGTTAATCCTATCTTAATTGCACAATCCCCACAACCACCCTGGACAATGGAAAAAATCCTTGTAGTGGGTCTGTCCTATTTTTACTATGGTTCTCTAGCAGGAAAATCATCTACATGAGTAATATTGAGGTAACTGACCCGAGACTGGATCTGCTACTTGAAGATTAACTGGACTGGAATCACAGGAAATCATTTCCAGATTTTTCCGCTTTGCTACTGGATTGTTCCAGATATACTGTTCAAAAGTTTGGGGTCAGTACGTTTTTTTGTGACAGTAAAGATATTTATAATGCCCCAAAAGATTTCTATTTCAAATAAATTATGTTTTTAAAAAACTTTATATTCATCAAAGAATCCTGAAAAAAAAGTATCAAAGTTGTTTTTTTGTTGGAAGCAAAGTTTTTTTTTTTTTGTGTGTGTATATCTTTAAATGCAAATGAGCTGCTGCTCCCCGCCCACCTTTCCAAAAGAGGTCGGAGCCTTTACAACTTGGGCCTCGCTCGGATACTCCAGCAACAACAAAACAGGAAACAGCATGGGGCCGTTTCCACAAACGCGTTTTTTGCATTCCACTGTGCTGCTTTTCCATTATTTTGTATGTAAACATGCGCTAAACGGACCTTGCATTGTTTTCTCCCGTCCGGTGCCATTCACACACAGAGCGTCTTTGCGTCTAAAAATGCAATGTTTTATCTAAAAACTTTTTTTTTTTCTTCCAAAGTTCAACTTCTTTTAACTTGCGTTTCTAGAATGCCATTTTCTGTGCGAGACACTGTGAAAGATGCACGTGCCAAGGTCAAACACGTCCATCTAGCACGTTTACATAGAAAAGCAATGGAAAAGTAAGGCAGTGGAATGGAAAAATGCATTCTGTTTTCATTGATAACATTTAGGCCCCGTTTACACGAAGGGAAAACGCAGATATTTCCCTGCGGTTTGGCCTCTCATTTACACGAAAACCCAGTTTTTATCACAGAAAACGATTATTTCTAAAAACTCCGGCCAAAGTGGAGATTTCTGATAACGTCAGTTATGTGTTGTCGTGTCAACTGGGAGAAACGGGGTTTTAGGTTCTCTCTGGTCGATTCTGAGGATTCTGATTGGCTTGCATGGCTTTATCCTTCTCCCTACACTGCCGCCCATAGGTTTGGCATAGTTATGATGGCGCTCGACGGCGTATTTATGCGGGTGTGTGCACGATGTTATTATTGAAAACGGGGGGGGGGGGATATTCGTATCTCTAAATACCCGGCTTTGTGTAAACGTGGCCTTAGACTGTTTATCACGTAGCTGAGACATTCTTGTGAATCCACTAGCTGCTATAGTGAGGAGATAAACATGGCGGATCGTGTTCAGCTCACTCAGAGGGGGAGCTAAGCTAACAGGGCAGATTCTGTGAATTTTGCATAATAGGTCACTTTCAGCATCTTCAAAATGAGAACAGAAAGTCAGTGATGACAATTTAAATGCAAAAAGTCTGTTGGGTTGCTGTTAAAAAAAAGCACCATCCCTCTCTCTCCAAGAGAATACACACAGCTGGATATGTAAAATATCCAGATACTGTGGAATGCTTCCAGTCTGCTATCTGTTATTGTTTATAAATATGTGCATATTCTTCCAGTTACACGCAAACACACAATTTTTGTATGTGGATATGTACAAAATCCAGATACAAAAATTGTGTTTTTGTGTGTAACTGAAAGAATATGCACATATTTATAAACAATAACAGATAGCAGACTGGAAGCATTCCACAGTAATGCTTTGAGTGGGAATCTAACCATTAGGCTAATCAATAATGTTGGCAAAAACACACCGCTTGGAACCATTTGAATATAACCAACCAGGAAATGCATGATCCACTCAGCCTCAAGCTACTTATCTGACCTATTTATATTCTCCTATACATCAGCACTCTTTTGCTCACCTAGAATGAGATGAGATCTCGCTCAGGTCTCCTATACTCCCATCCGCGGGTGTGTGTCCGGCGGCCAGAGCCGCGGCGTAGCTCTGAGGAAGATACAACCTCCCGTGGTCCTCCTCCACTGAACCTTCTTCAGTCAGCTCCGGTGTCCAGGGGTGTCCCGGATCAGACGCGCCCCGGCCCTGGAGCACGACGCGGGCCACAGATGCATTGGCCACCCCTGGGGTCATGCTACAGGGTGCAGTGTCAATCCCACTGTCAGTGGAGGCTCCTTTAATGTAGGTGAGACCCAGCATCTCTGGATCCATCAGGTCCCCGGAGCCGAAGTGCTTCTCATCACTGTTACTGCTGGAGGCATTGCTGGACAGAGTGTTACTGCTGGAGTGGCTGGAGTTCTTATCGCCGCCCTGCTGGAGGAAGACACAAACACACACACACAACAAGGAAACATTAATAATAGGGATAATAAACCTGCTGCTGTCTGTCATTAAGGATAATCAAAGAACAAAAGAAAAAGAGAAACCATTCACTGCTCTAGACTGAATAACTTGTGTAGCTTTAATAAGGATAAATATAGATTTCATTTATAATTTATGCAGGGAAGACTGTGAAGTGTTTGATAACTTTATTCAATTTCTGTATATATCCTTCCTAACTGAAAGTCAAAAGTTACATGGATCGAAAACAATAACTTTTTGTACATTTTAACAGGGCAAGTAGAAATCTGAACTGGTCTGACTGGGCTAATAGAGAGAATTGAGCCCTGATTTATTGAAGGACAACTTCAATAACTGTGGCATTTATTTTAATGGGTTTATGTGAAGATTGTTTTGTTTTAATGGCATCTTTTTATGAAAGAAGGCCATTACTGCTATGAGTTTTCTCTCTCTCAATTTTAGCCAATAAGTACAGCCATTCGGCATCACAGTATAATTGAAAGCTATACATTTTAACATTTATTAGGCTTTGAAATATATAACAACTTTTAATTTGAAATATAGTCTAGTGTCTTTATGTTGTTTCTACATTAATTTGGAGATTAAAGGTGAAATTATCACAATATGAATATAAATATATTCAAAAATGAATGTTAGGTGCGATTGACAGCACTATATATGTATATTAAAAAATACACAAATATTTAATAAATTAAGAACTGCCAGCATAAATACCAAGGCTACATTTTTCAGTAGCTCACATTGCAACAAACAATACATATCGTGCCATTGTCTACGTGACGTTTTGTGCTTGCTAGCATATTTTATCATCTATAATTCTAATTAGCAGATGTAAAAACGGGTCGCATTCGCTGTCATATTCTTTGTCATGTGACACCTTCTTTAGTCCAAACTAATATCATGCCAATTTAAATGTACCACTGCACACTGGAAAGACCAGCAAAACTAATTACTGTGAGCTAATGAATAATTCTGTGACTGGTGGTAATGTATGCAAATATGAGCTGTATTCATTAATTAGTGCGCAGACAATAGGGGTAATAAATTAAAAGAGGGGAGCCTGTGGTGAACGGCGCCATGTACATCTCCCAGTGGATACGGCCAACAGCATTTTAGACAATGCAACAGACATTAGAGACCATTTCAGAGATGAAAAGGTTTGTAAGTTATTGATATAGATGGTAAAAGGCAAACAGACAACAACAAACATAATTAAGAGACTGTGATTCTGACATTAAACCTGCTTTTAGACTGACATGAAATGATCCAACTCATTAATGCAGCTGTAAAACACATTCCACTTTACATGGATAATGAGACCGTCCTTTAATCTATCATGGTTTTCCATATTTGCTCAGAGGCCCTACAGCTGCAAACCCCCTATAGCTCTTCATCACACACACAATAAATCATATGTCGTAGATTAAACATCCCCAGGATCTAAAAGTTTTCAATGCAACTGAGTTGCTAAGTGAGAAAAGCATTAGAGAACATGGCACTTGAGATTCATTTGAACAGCATGAAGTGGTAAAAATTGATTGGGTATTATACTTAACGTGGGATGGAATGAATTAAGACATTATATGCCATTTTCTTTAATAGAAATTGTTAAATTAATAAGTAACATGATTCAAAACTGCAGTGATTGCAAATCAGAATAGAGGCAAACGCTTCCTACAGTCACTGACAGAGAAAAGGCCTTATTTGAAGGAAATTACAAGTAATAACATTAGTGTAAGTGAAACAAAGTAATTAACATTAATTTACCTTGAAGGAAAATGAAGATGTTCTTACTACAACACAGTTTAATAGCAAAAAATTGATGGAAATTTAAATGTACCACTGCTAATATATATATTAGGTATTTATTAATATGTATTTCATGTACACTGTGTTATTTATTTAATGTAGGATGTTATAATGTATAATGTTTACGTTACTCTATGTGGCCTCATTAATTGCCCCTTGGGGACAAATAAAGTGTTTTGAAATTGAAATTGAAAAAAGTATCCCTATTATACAAGGCCTGGCAACTTTTACTTAATTTCTGTAAAAATATTGCATTTGCAACAAGCTCTAAACACTCCAAAGTGTGAATAAAATATTTCAAATTTAATTAAAAATGATTTCACTCAATATTTGTGTGCACTACTCATTTTCTACGCTTATTAGAGCATAACACTAGCTATGTTTCCATGCAAAGTTGCAATTTTAAAAACATTTGCGAACAAAGCCCTGTTTCCATCCCATGTGTTCAAGAGAACAAGACCATCACTTTCTAGGAAATTGGTGCAAAATATCTGTAGTAAAACTGGAAGTTGCTGCAATCATACATCATGAATGAATTGGGCCTCAGAACGCGCAGACGAAACGCTATAAACGCTTGCTATCTTGCGTTCGGAGAAGGATACCAGATGTTTGAGAACGCAATCGTGTGAGACAGTTCTTGGAGGTCATTATACAAACTATAGATGACATTTCAGGCTTTTCAGAATGACCAAAGCAACATTTGAGATGCTGCGATGCAATTGGTCCGCTGGTTAGTCCGGTTATCCAATCACATCCCCTGTTGAGGAGTCACATGACTTTTTTTTATGCGCGTCGAGGGATTTATTTGGGAAATGTGTTTCCATCGTAATATATGCGCATGTCTTCTTGTCCAATGGAAAAACTGTATACCTCAATTAAGCACATGAGTTTTTTGCATCTAGCAGTCCCAAAACTTACATAAAAATAGGTGGATGGAGACATAGCTACGGTCAACTTAGTGCTAAAGCCAGACTCATTAGCAGAGATTCTACATACAAACATCATTTCAAATCAGTCATGTATAGTAGAAGGATCATTTCAGCTTAAACATTTTGGAAGAGAGCTTATATGCATGTACAGATGCTCACACAGGGATCACTACAGGAGCCCAGCGTTAAACGACCGTCATTTACTTTGAATCGGCTGCCGGTGGTCAGATGCTATTACTGGAACAGGGAGTGAGAGATATCGGGTAAAACTAACATTGACGGTGAGATAGATGGCGAGAGAGACAGACAAACACAAGCATGTCCCTGATAACAGCACAGAGCGCCAGCACCAAGGGCAGACTGACCTTATCACCGTTCATTCATCACACTGATGCACACACACACTGACAGCACGACTAGCGGGGCTCCGTGTGTGTGTGTGTTTGTCATATCAAGCTTTTCAACCTACTGTACGTAAAGACGAGCGGGAGACGTCTCCACAGCAGCAGATCCAGGAGATGCCAATGTTACTTGATTATAGGGTTGATATGTGAAGTGTAAGTCTCACTCACCACATTAAAACTCATTCTGACACCGTTCCCGCAGTAAATTTCCCAGAGGGAATTCCCCAAGATTATGAATTAGTCCGGCATTTATAAACATACAGTTGCATATATAAACAAATGCCTGCTGGATAGCCAACTAACCAACTGAATTATAAATAAACCACAGGGTTTATTTTGTCAGCGGTCTTGTGAACTTTAAATGAACTGGACCTCATGACCTTCTATACAGCTGTGTGTAGGGCGACCGGGAGTTTGCCAAGTGTTGGTCTAAAATTACTATCAAACCATTTTTAGAGTTCGATTTGTGGCTTCAACTTTGAATTTAGGGCATATTAATTTATTTCAATATAAAACAAGCATTAAAGTTGCTAACTGGTTTTTATTTCTGTTTTAATTGTAGTAAATCAACTTAAACTAAATGAAAATGAGAAATTCTTTGGCAACTAGCTGAAATAAATATACATTTAAAATATTTTATTCCATTTCAGTTAACGTGTATTTTATTTCAAGTAAAAAAGGTTTTTTTTTTTTTATGGGTTTAGTTTTAATTAACCATAACAACCCTGATTCTTAAATATATATTTTTAAAATCCTTATTTAATTTCCAATATATCATTTTAATTATAATTATTTTAGTTACCTATTTTAATCTATAAACACTCATAGTTTCAGTAAATAAATAAAAATGTTATAAATAAAACTTTATCATTAAAGCAGATGTACCAGAGGAAACCTATTAGCGGACATGAGGAATGAATATTGAATATTGTTGATTTAAAAAGCTTTTTTAAGGGTACTGGAACATGTTTGTTCCTCTCGAATCTTCTTTCAGGATCAGAATGAATGATGTTGATCCAGAAACATGCTCTTCTTGGCAAAATCACAGGCATCGCTTTCACTCAACCGGAGTGTCGCATGGGAGAAGTCTTACCCGCGTCAGCTTGTTCGGTGAATCCTTGCCTCTTTCCTTCAAAGAGTTGAGGATCTTAGTGGAAGGGACGTGCCATTTGGCCTCTGTGGAGACAGAATAAAGCACAAGCTTTGAGCTTCCCAGAACATCTTACTAAAGAGAACAGAAGAGCATAGACACGGTCTAATACGGTCATTAGATGCTGCAAACTCTAGGTCTAGATGGGCAACTCATCATCTATGATATTCGAAAAAACAGATTGACCACAATAACTAGGACTGCACGAAAAATGTTATTGTGATTTTACTTATAAAAGTTGCATTTGCGATTTAAAATGTGATTTGAAAAAATAAGCACTAGGTTTGTTAAGCTGCACAATTTGGCCCAAAATTTTGTGATTATATATTAACCTGAGTAATAATAATGGTAACACTTTACAATAATGTTTCATTTGTTAATGAGTTAACTAACATGAACTAACAATGAGCAATACGTTTGTTACAGTATTTATTAATCTTTGTTCATGTTAGTTAATAAAAACAGTTCATTGTTTGTTCATGTTAGTTCACAGTGCATTAACCAATGTTAACAACTTTTGATTTTAATAATGTGTTAGTAAATGTTGAAATGAACATGAACAAAGATTAATAAATGCTGTAGAATTACCGTTCATTCTAATGGTAACTAATGAAACCTTATTGTAAAGTGTTACCATTATTATTATTTGTATTATTATAATTAATACAAATAATAGCTTTTTTTAAATGCTTTTTTAATTCACGATGATATATTCAAATTCACGAATGCCCTCACTAATGTTCATGGCTGTCTTAATATCTTCATTTTCAAACATTACACCATCAAGCTTTTATTTTGGTGGAAAACCACAAGCTGTTCACGAGTAAATGAACACAGTGCCTCGCTTCACTCTGAAACACACATATATTTATTGAATTATGTTCTTTTTGTTAATCACACTAAGCCCAATCGCAATTTCAGGTTTTAATGAATCGTGCAACCTATTTTTTCCCAACAGTTTCACTTCCAGTGTGTTTCCAGGTCAGAAGCTGATGTCCACCTGACCTTCACTCTTGAGACGGGTAACTATAAAGCTCAGTGTGTGTGTGTGTGTGTCACCTGCAGAGCGTGTTCTCTCGAGGGTGGGCTCTCTCTCCCTCAGCATCTCCCCGTCTCCCAGCATGCACTGGGCTTCAGCGGAGCGCTCGTGGAGAACGGGAGACTGACACCTGTGGAAGGAACAGGCTGGAGTTTAGCTCTTTCGGGAAGAGGAAAAGACTTCAATCAGCCAAAGGAGGATGATGAAAGCCAGGTTTTTTTGGGCTATTCATCTTTGATTGCAGTGCACTGATGTTCAGTTTGACTGAAACCCCTCACACCTCCAGCTGTGATCAGTCACTACCTTTGAAGACACGTTCAAATTCATATAGCAATAGCTCATTTCTTTACTCATACTAATAAATGTCAGCCTTGATTAGATTCCTTATGGATTGATTATCTCACACTCTCCCAACGTCCTCTGTGTGTGAAGGTTATGCTCTTAAGACTTAAGACAAGTCTAAACGCATTTATGGATGACTAAAAATCGAGTACCAATCAGTAAATTACCAATTACTGTGCCTGAACATTAACCAGGTTTCTTGTTACTTATCAATTAATTTCTAAAAACCCAAATCAACCTATATCAGATGAACAATACAATAAACAACAAATTGTTTACAGTTTTTATATGATGAAACAAAATATATGAAATTAATATTATTTATTATATTTAATGATATTAATATGAAATAGTTTAATATTTATTCAGAAATTAATACATGTTTAATTAACACATTTAAAATAAATTACACTATATTAAATAAACTCCAAATTAAAAATCCAAATCAACCTAGATCAGGTGGACAATATGATAAACATTAATTTTTATAACAAGTATATGGAAAAATGAAAAATATATTGTATTAAGTAATATTAATATTAAATAGTTTAAAACCAGCTAATAATATAAGTTATAAAAATGAATAAATGTTTCTTATTAAGACATTAATAATAAATACAATTATTTTTCAATAAACTAAATCCATACTAAATAACTCATATGTTAATATAATTTAAAGTATTTATTTATTAATTTATATTAATCGAATTATTAATTGGACCAATACATTAATACTCAATTAAACTTAAATAACCAAAATGTGTGCAAAATAAATACTGATAAAAAATATCAATTTCATTCATTGATTTACACACACATCAAGCACATTCACATGTTTTGCAAACTACATTAATACAGAATAATTGCATTATTTATGCCACACAAAAACAGATTGTCTGTGAGTTTGAGTCAGCATGTTACCCGTCGTATCCGGGCTGCTGGTTCCAGCTAGCGCTCCCACAGGGCCCGGGGTCACTGGAGGACGACTGGTTACTGGGCGAACTGCGGTAGTGTTGGGACGCCTCTCCTTTACTGCAGGACATCTGAGGGCTCTCCGTATCTTGAGCCGTCCTGTAGCGTGAGAAAGACAGAGAACAGATGGGTTTCCGTTCTCACAGCAGCTGCGCCACTGATACTGATAGCACTGCAGCACGGCCAGTCTGGCATGAGCAACAGGTTTCAGTCTGTGGAGTCAAGAAGACAACATCGACGTGTCTGATCCAATCACTCGCTTCACACGAGTGACAAGCTGAATGTGTGTTAAAGGGTTCGTTCGCCCAAAAATGAAAATTATTACTCACCCTCATGTTGTTCCAACTGATGTTTAAATTAGACCTATAAGCGGCTAACGCGCAACATTAAACATTATTTTTTTCTACTATAATATTCTTATCAATCTTGAATACCTTGACAACAAATTCAACTAAATGAAAAATATTAAATCAAATTTACTTCATTTCTAAAATTCAAATCAACCTACATCTGATGAACAACATTTGACAGAAGAAATTCTGTTGTAGATAAAAGATAAGACTAAATATAGTATATGAAATATATAAATAATAATATAAGGAAATAAAGTACATGAAATAAGAAATTGTAATATACATTTTTTTTATATAAACATATAATATTTGTTATAAATATTTTTTATTAATACATTCATTGTAAATGTAATTATTTTCAATAAACTAAATAAAAATTTATAATATAATTGAATTAATTAATTAACAGTGGATTAGTGAAATGGATAATTGGGATAATTAGGCAACACACAGAGCCATAAGTGCCGCACTCATTAAACATCATTCACTTTAATCTGACATCAATAACGGTCAGATTATCATGCTTTCAAATCGATTTGAAACATTTTAAGGTAAACATTCACGCAATTTACCTTTTATTTACTTGACATTTGGGCAAATGTGCATCTGGGTTTTCCATGCATACAGAAGATGTGCACAGAATATCAAGATTTCGAGTAAATAAAATGGTAACTGAAATAACATACAGTATTAAAACATAACATAATCTAACCTTTATTGATGCATACTCCAAAAATAGCACCAGTAGAATGATAATATGTTCCTCCACTAATGGATGCTTCACTAAGAACCTGTCTACTAAACCGTCAGGGATCCAATCACACGTCACCTTGTGAAAGTCCTGGCGGTGAAAACTCAGACCGGTTTCTGTCAGCTTTAATAATGGGAATCAGCAGTGCTCTCATTCTCCATGCATACATCGCACACACCCTCCGAAACAGCAAAATGTGACGTGTAGAAACTTAATGAAGGTCATTTGCACAATTGCCATGGTGACTTTGCGCACCAAAAATGGCACAGGACAATATGCATGCTAGTATATTAATACACCACTGTGACAGATCTGACAAAACATTTAATCTTTTATGAATTGCATGTGCAAACATTCTCATATCTATGTTAAAGTGGTTGCTAGGACATTTCTGCAAGGTGTCCAGTGTGCTTTTAGTGATTGAGCATTAATGCATCAGCAGAAAGAGCGTTCAGTTCAGTGGCATTATATGCACAGCTCTCTCCACATGCGGTCTCACACTAGAGTCTGGAAAGGTCATCAACACCACGAGGGGCTTCCAAGTAAGAACAAATGACCACATTATAACAAACCTTATTTGAAAGGCATAATGCATGCATACCAAACACAGGAACCCGAATCATGATGTTCTGGGTCAGTAAGTATGGCAGAAACACTGGAAATGCAACATCACTTTCCAGCAGCAAAAGTAAATGATAGTGCACAGTGAGAACGAAAATATTGCATGACACGGAACAACAACAGACAGGTTTTTTTGTTGCAATTTTCACATATTTATGCACTGCAAAAAAAAAAAGAAGTATTTTTATCTTGTTTTACAGTTAAATAAAAAAATGATATTCAAAAGTATCACAAGACGGCGATTAGTGCCGTATTAAAGCAGTTTTATTTCTTCCCAAATTCTGTTTTATTTATCCCAGAATCCATGTTTTTTTGGTTTAATTTAATTTTCTTGATTCTGTTTCAATGGTTTAATTACATTTCAATAATCAAAAAGCAAATCAAATTAATTCATAAAACTTTTTACGTATTTAAAACATAAAACAATTTAATAATTAATTTTTTTTAACAATGATAGGGCCATACATTTTTTTTTTTATTTGTATTCAGTTTTTCTGTTAAAATATTTCTGGCTTTAAGATTTAATACAAATGTATTAATAAAAACGGCGGCAATCAAATAAAGGCATAAAAAAATAATAATAATCGTATTTATGTATTTATTAATTTAACAACAGTTTTATTTTTTGACAAACAATGTGCAGCACAAAAGATGTTTGTTTACTGCTAAATTTAAAACAAATGGTATAATTACATTTTAACAATTATTATTATTACTACTGCTACTTTGAGAAGTACATTATACTGTGCAATAGTAATTATATTTCTGTCATAATTTCTTCAATTTAAACCAAACTTTTATTTTAGCAGGTTGTCCTTTGAGTTTCTGTGTGTATATATATGATGATGATGATAGTTTGCAGACTTCAGATTTTTAATAGGAAAGACCCAAAAAGAGGAGATGAAATTGATGAATCATTAAATATAATAAATAACATAAATAATATTATTTTCATATCTGTTGCTTAATCTTATATAAAAACTGTACATTTTTATTGTATTGTTCATCTGATATCGGTTGATTTGGGTTTAATAAATACATTGATAAGTTACAAGTAACCTGATTAATGTAACGGTGCAAAACCCCGCGAACACTTCATATGACGCAAACTCTGAATCAACACGCACCAATGCTATATTTTCTAAATGTCATAATCATTTGTTAACAAACAAGTATTCATTACTTCAATGATAACTATGATTTTGTATATATACATTTCTGAAATCCATAACTTTAGACAGTTTCCTCTGATAACAGATCACTCTAAATTGTAATGTGGACTCGTGCATTTTCTGTAAAGCTGCTTTGAAACGGTGTGTATTGTGAAAAGCGCTATACAAGTAAACGTGATTGAATTGTAACCAGAAGTGATACCTGGGTCCATCTGGCAACTTCCTGTCGAAAGAGGTGCTGCGTGGGATAGCGCTCTGGAGGACCTGCTGGCAGGGCGTGCGATCGGGACCCTGTGTGGGGGACCCGCGGGGGACGGGCTGGCCGCTGGTGGGCACACGGTGCCAGGTGGTGTTTCTTTTGAAGGGCGTCTTGTACTCGCAGGGCGTTCCTTCACTGTCCAGCTTATACTCCACCATAGGAATGCGGTAGAGCTCTGAACATCCCCTGACACACACAAAAAGCAGAAAATAAGCCACCAATATTTTTGGGAATATGAGCACTGATTAATTGCTCATAATAAAATCAGGATTGTATCTATTATGCCCTTTTTCAAAGTCTTGATTTTGTTGTTAGGCTCTACTAGAATAGGTTTAAATGCTTGAAATGTTTTGAAAAAAACACATTATTTTCCTCATATTCTCCATTGTTGCGGCTCCTCTCTTCCCAGTCTGTCAGTAACGCTCTGTTTAGTTCCTGTCTCTATGAAGCCCCTCCTTCTGAAAGCACACTGTGCTCTGATTGGTCGGATGAAGCAGTGTGTTGTGATTGGTCAAGCGCTTCGAGTGTGTTTGGGAAATGTCTCGCTCTTACCATAACCGCCAGTTTAACAAACTACTAACTAACTCAACCAGGCCCCGCCCCTTTATTCTGCGTATTAATTATTTAAATGAGGAATATTGTGACGTGTTTGTCCCGGAAGAAACTCAAGACTACAATGGAGGCGTTTCAGGGAGTTCAGAAACACTGACACTGATATAGAGGAGAACTCCTTTTTCATGCTCAAACAGCAACATCACACACTAAAGAAAGATGAACATGTAGAAAAGCATAATAGGGGCCCTTTAAGAAAATAAATTTTTCTGAAATATCTTTCTTTTTTGGTTAATATCATTAGTCCGTTATATTTCAAAGCACATGTCATATACAGAGACTTTTCATCATGCAATCAATTCCTGATGTATGAATATCTGCCCTGCTTTTCCTCTTATTGAATATTGTTTCATTTGGAAAAGCATGGGTTTACAACAAAGTTTCTTCAAGTGTCTTCCTCAAGGGCAGAGTGTTGAGAACTCATCGTTCCCTTCTTCAGGGATTGAACTAGTAATCATCTGGTTCCCAGTCCAGAGCTTTAACAACTGCACCATATACCACTGCATACAATATACTCAAGCCAAATCTCTTTGTATGGTGCGTTTCACAATGCACATCGTTTCAAAGTAGTTTTACATAAAATCATGATGGAAATGTTTATAATAGTATTGTTTACATTTTGCAATTTAATAAAAAAATTAAAAAAAATCAGGCAGGTGAGATTTGCTGTATTACACATCACTTTACATGAGTATAATGCAAGTATGAAGATAAAATAGGTAAATAAAATAAAATATATACTTATATAATCAAAATGCTAAAAAGTGGTAGGTGAAAATATAGACACATTTTGCGATGAAATAAAAAGTGACAATATATTGTGGTAAAGTTGTCTAAATGTTGTCCAACAAAGCAAATTTCTATTTGTACAGCTAAAATAACAAAGCGAATGACACTGAAGTCTCGCATATTAGAGGGGACTGTATTATACACTCCAGGCGTAGTAAGTTTGGGCAGACGGCATTCTCAGTTAGAGCTACACGCCACTGGAATAGTTTATCTGCTGAATTGAGAGAATGCAATAATTATTTAACTTTTAAACAGGCACAACAGACATATAGCCACTAGCAATTTACATATACATTTCTTTACTGCACTTATGTAATGTATTATCTTGTACTTGATTAGGCACTATACTGATGATACTTGGAACTACATTGTTGTTGTCTCTTCCTTCTTTTTTCTTGGATAATTTTAATGTATTTTTTCTTGCAGTATTTGTTGAAGCACTGTACTTATGTATTGATGATGTTGGACATTAGTTAGTATCACCTGCTCAGGGACTACGGATGAAAATGAGCTATTAAGCTAACTCTGGCACATTTACATTGAAGTTTTACTACGGTGTTGATTAATGTGCCTGTAAAAAACAACAACAAAAAAAACTTTTTTATTATATTCAAGTTACCAACGGACGCGGACGCTTTTACATTAAACTAGTGCTGTCAAACGATTAAAATATTTAATCGCATTAATATCATAGTTAACTCGCGATTAATCGCAATTAATCGCACATTTTTATCTATTCTAAATGTCTCTTGATTTCTTTTTGTCCCATTATTTTTTCGCATCAGCTGTGTGTGTGTGTGTGTGTGTGTGTGTGCTTGGCCATCAAGTGGTATATCAGACTGGACGTGCTGTGATGATGATAGCTCAGTTCACAACGACAAAACACACAGATCACTTTGGTCTTGTCAATGGAACCATTTGGCAATTTTTTAAAAGTAAACTTTCAATTCAGAATCTTATTGGCATCCATTTCGGCGTCTCGCGCTCGCCATCCACTCAAAACGCAACGTTAACCAACTATTTGGCCGGCTCGCAAGCCCAAACGAGTGTGTGCGGCGTGCCTGTTGTTTTGTTTCCGGTCTAGCTAGATCCGCTTGCGCTTTGGTCGACGAAGCAACAAAACGTCCTCGCGCGGCGCAAGCCATTGAAATGAACGGGTTTCATAGCGCAGCGCCGCGTCCCGTTGCAAAAGCATGTGAAAAAAAACGACAAAGTTCGCTAGGCCAAAAAGACCGTTAATCGCGCGATAAAAAATTTGACGCCGTTAAAATGGGTTTGTGTTAACGCCATTAATAACGCGTTTAACTGACAGCCCTACATTAAACATAAGGTGGATATGAGTGCTAGGGGAACGTGAGGATGCACAGAAATGGAGACGCTGGATGAGGTGGGGTTCTTGTGTTGAAAGAAGAGAGCCCCGAGGCTTCAGCGCTGCACCCAGGTCACCAAAACAGTCCACTTCCCAAAACGAAAAAAAAAACTTCTGCAATTCAACTCTGCTGCTATTGTCTCCATGAAGCTCTTGGGGTGAGGGGTTCACATTCTCCTCTGACATTTACATAACCAGCCCTGCAGCCCACAGGCTCGTATCAATTAGATGCAGAAGACAGGCCCAAACATCAGAGAATGTGATCTCTGCATCGGCTGAAATGTGTTTTAAATTGAGCTGCATTCATCAGTTATTTGCCCATTGCCCTCTGGTTATCAGTGACCTGGGCGTCCTCGCGAGGGCAGAGAACACTAGACGCTACGCTTCACTTTCTGCCAGAATCTCTTGTTGGCATGAGCAACGCAGCGGCAACACGGCAATGCAAAACATCCTCGAAAAGCACTTTTTCGACTGAAAAATCATGATGGAATACATTAAAGGAAAAGATCAACAATAAATGAAAAATTCTGTCATTATTTACTCACCCTCATGTCATTCAGATTTTGTATGATTTCCTTGTATTTGTATTTTGATATTTTGTATTTTGCAATAGGGAATGAGTTGTTTGAGGTCTGAACACACACACACAGATGGAGACACACACAGAGACACAGACACACACACATAGACATACACACACAGACACACACACACACAGAGACACACACACAGACACACACACACAGACACACGCACACAGACACACGCACACAGACACACACACACACATGCACACACACAGAGACACACAGAGAGACACACACACACAGAGACACAGAGAGACACACACACACACACACACACACACACACACAGACACACACAGACACACACACACACCTCAACAAGGCTGCATTTATTTGTAAAAACAGTGAAATATGAAATATTATCACAATTTAAAATGTCTTTTCTATTTCAATACATTTTCAAATGTCATTCTAATATGCTGATTTGCTGCTCAAGAACATTTCTGATTATTATAAATGTGCTGCCTAACATTTCTGTGAATATTTATATCTTTTCAGGATTCTCTGTTGAATGTAAAGTACAAAAGAACAGCATTTATTCGAAGTAAAAAATATTTTTTTTTAACATTATAAAAGTCTTTACTGTCACTTTTGAAGAATGCATTGCTCCTTGTGGAATAAAAGCATTAATTTCAGCCTCAATGCCCATTAATGAGAAACAGGATACTTTGCATGAAGTTTAACGCATTGAGGTATATTGAGGTGAGTCATGTGACACGTCTTTAGTTCTGGGACCCAGATGACTCTTAAGTGTTTGTCAATGACCAGAAATATTGCATGCAAAAGCATCCAGACGCGTCTTTGTAAAGCTGCCGAAACATTAGCCTCGGCTACGGCACTGGCTCGAGTGTTTGAACAGTCCGTCGACAGAAATGCATTTACTGTACATCACTCACAGACATAATGAGAACCAGTTGGGAAGAAAAGTAAACTACTGAATCGAACATTTGGCGCCTCGAGCGTTTGAGATGTGTTTACAGTGTCTACGCTGGAGAATAAACTGGTCCGTTTTCTAATTAAAACGGGCTATTAAAAGTGGAATAATATCCAAAACTAGTGATAAATAATCCACAGCATGAGCTAAAGCCATTTTAAAGAGGATGATAAAGATAATGTGAGTGATTTACTTGACTATTTACTTCAACTTCCACACACAGAACAAAACATTGACATTTTCCACACCAAAACCTGAAACCTCTGACGTACACGGACATAATCTGGAGAATAATCTACAGTGAGCAGTGTGTGAACGAGCCGAGAAACACGAGCCCGACTGCATTTAGGTGGAAGCTCTTAAAGACTCAGTGTTGTTTTAGAAAGACACTTGATCCCACAAGCCAAAATCACAAGAGTTATTCCCAACATTAGAGTCTTTATCCAAGAAAAAAGTACGTATTGCTCGTGGCTCTGCTCACATTTACAGGCTCAGATTTATAGAGCGATGTTTTCCACTGCCGCCCGCCAACAACTGCTCGACTGACTCAATCCTCACACACACTACTGCGCCATAATGGAAAACAGAGCGTGATGTAAAGGTACGATACTAATGACCCTGCAAACTGCAGTAATGATCAGTATTGACTGACTGTTTAAACACCATAAGAGTTTAGCAAAACAATGATTCATATCACGTCGAGTCTCGGTGCAAAACAAGCTTCAATCTATACATTTCCCATCATGCACTATACATAACGTAAATAAAACACTGCATTTATAAAGAAAAGTTTCGCATTGGATCTTCAAATTAAAGCACTTTCAACTATACACTACTATTGAAAAGTTTGTTTTTTTAAGGAAATTTATACTTTTATTCAGCAAGGACGCATCACATCGATCAAAGGTGACAGTAAAGACATTTATGATGTTAGAAATGATTTATATTTCAAATACATGCTGTTCTTTTGAACTTTCCATTCATCAAAGAATCCTAATTGATCACAGTTACCACAAAAATATTGATAAATCATTGATGATAATAATATTTTTGATCCTCAAATCATCATATTAGAGTGATTTCTGAAAGATCATGTGACACTGAAGACTGGAGTAATGATGCTGGAAATACAGCTTTGATCACAGGAATAAATGTAACATTTTACTATAGAAAACAGTCCTTTTAACGTGTAATAATATTTCACAATATGTATTTTTGATCAAATGAATGCATTGGTGTCTTGGTGAGAAAAAGACCCTTCTCAAAAAAAAGAAAAAAGTTTTTTAAAACACTTGCAGACACCAAACTTTTCAAGTGTATATAATAAAATATTAGTTTTTACATTAGATCTTCAAATGAAAGTGCCTTCAAGTAAATAAATATCAAAGTACCATCAGTGTACCAGGGTAAACTCACAGTACTTCTCTCTGTAAGGGAGGGAAATCAAACTTCTCTGAGAAAAAAACAACAAAAAAAACCTGGACTTTTCCCATCAAACACACTGTTTTTACATCCTCTCTTATTTTAAAGAGCCCATACATGTCTTTTTATGGTTGCGCAGAATCCAGTCTGGACTGGTGAAATATGTCTCTAATATTAGCCTAACCCAGAAAATCTATTTATTTACACTAGAGCAGCGGGACGTGGCGGGCCGTAACCCTGCGCAGTCCACAAGAGTTTCTATATGAAGCTTTAAACATGCTGTCCATACATCACACTAATGAGAGAAACATTTCAGATGTGTCCACCACACTCAAAATTACTCACTTATGGATTGAAAATGTAAACAACGGGTAAATATTTGGTTTTCAGACTAATCAGAGAGAGTATGAGGCTCTGTTCCTCAAATTCAGACCTGAAACATGAGATTCATCATGCCAATGTCTTTCCTTTAAGTAATATTTATCAGGGTGTAATGTTCAAACATGCAGGACATCTGGAGTTCTGGTAATTCTAGGAATATTCCATGGTTGTTTAACTTTATCACTTGCAATTAGATTAACGCACTTGTCAGACGCTTTAATCCAAAGTGACTTGCATTGCATTGAGGGTACAGTGTGCATTTGATCAGTTTCTGTATTCCCTGGGAGTCGAACCCATGACCTTGGCATAGCTAGCGGCAGCAAATGATCGTTGGCTTTAATGCACATTTAAAGCAAACAATGAACCCAAACACATATTTTACAAATGCAACAACCTGGCAATGACCTCAAAGCACCAGAACATTGTTTTACATGGGTATATTTCCTTTGGAAAATGTACAAATATAGTTAGTTATCCATTATGGTTTATATTAAGTAGGTCAAATGAGAGCTACTCAGATCATTCTAAAATGGTTGAAATCACAAACTACTAGAACTTACAAAAAGCTCCAGGGTCAGGCATCACACTCAAAAAAATGATATGTTGGCTTTCCTTAATTTTATTTCGTCAACAGGTTCCACATAACTAGGTTATGTTAAACAAACATAATTTGTTATGTAACTTCAACATAATTTGTTAATTTAACTTCAACATAATTTGTTCATGTAACTTCAACATCATGGAATTAAGTCATTTTAAGCAACCCTATAAAAGTAGTCTCAAAGTGATTTTTTAAAGGCTTTTTGACATGATTCGGGTATTTTTATATTCATTCATTCATTCATTAATATTTCATTTATTTTAGAAACACATAATTAAATTGTTAGACTATAGCTAGCTATTTGCTAGCAGTAGCACATATTAGCATCTTAAATGCTAAGATTAACATGCTCAGTCAACCAAACAGTTGAAACAAATAAATCAGTCCACACCCAAACAAAATGCTCCACTCTTCTCCACAATGGTAACCCACTGTAATTTAAATGGTGCTAATAATTCAAATGTAATTGAACATTAAACACAATTACACACTATCAAGTCTTCCCCTTTTGTCATTTGCTCAAAAAAAACATAAAATAACACTTAATTTTAACATTTATTCTCTCTTAATTCAACCATATGCAAAGCATGCTGGGCACTGACAAGCACCGCCCAGTTTTAGTTAATGCAACACAAATCAATCATGTAATCCAACACAAGTAGATTAAGTAAACTTAAATGTTGCATATATTTAAGCAGATTGAACACAATCAAATTAAGTTCGGGCAAAATGGCAGTTGGCTCGCACTATACTGCCACCCTCTGGATGCAAGAATTTTTCACTTAACATAAATGGTTTGTGTTTAGGCAACGCAATAGGATTTTGTACTGTTAAGTTGAGACATAATTACGTGGACCTTACTAGAAAAAAACATTTCAAGTCAAAAAACACAATTATTATAAGTAAACTAAATATAAATATATTATGTAAAGTGCACAACCTTCCTAGTTCATTTTTTTGAGTGCATAATACTGAGCTCCGCCTCCAGTAAATGAGCTTCTTTTGCATCATGTATGATGTCAGATGATCATATATGATCACAGATCACTGTAAGAGGATTTGCTGACATGTTGGATTGACAGGAGTGTTTACATCTGATATGAATAAACTATGCCAACATAAGGCTCATAGAATCACTATCTAGATTTTCAGTGCTCTGTCCACGAGGCATATCTGTGAGCAAATTAATCGGACAGCTCAGAATGTGGATAAACTAGTTCACTTAACCCAATTAGCCCAGTAAAAAAATTACTTTTATATTACAAATGAGACCGAGCAGCTGAATGAATTAGTCAGCTCGTTTCAATGCATGAAACGACAAATTGATTAATATGATAATTTCTTTATGAAATGTAATCAAATATGACAGTGAAAAAACTAAATAAAATAAAAAAATACCAAATCTATATAACTTAAATTTATTAATAATATATATACAAATATAAAAAATTGAAAAATATATGTAATATTTAAATGTACAGTAAAAATTACATTTTAAAAATTGTGTGTGTGTGTATATATATATATATATATATAAAATTTGTGTAATATATAATTTTTATTAATTTTTATTTATATATATATAAAATAAATGTTATAAATATAAAATAATTTTATATATATACACTCACCGGCCACTTTATTAGGTACACCTGTCCAACTGCTCGTTAACACTTAATTTCTAAGCAGCCAATCACATGGCGGCAACTCAGTGCATTTAGGCATGTAGACATGGTCAAGACAATCTCCTGCAGTTCAAACCGAGCATCAGTATGGGGAAGAAAGTTGATTTGAGTGACTTTGAACGTGGCATGATTGTTGGTGCCAGAAGGGCTGGTCTGAGTATTTCAGAAACTGCTAATCTACTGGGATTTTCACGCAAAACCATCTCTAGGGTTTACAGAGAATGGTCCGAAAAAGAAAAAACATCCAGTGAGCGGCAGTTCTGTGGGCGGAAATGCCTTGTTGATGCCAGAGGTCAGAGGAGAATGGCCAGACTGGTTCGAGCTGATAGAAGGGCAACAGTGACTGAAATAACCACTCGTTACAACCGAGGTATGCAGCAAAGCATTTGTGAAGCCACAACACGCACAACCTTGAGGCGGATGGGCTACAACAGCAGAAGACTCCACCGGGTACCACTCATCTCCACTACAAATAGGAAAAAGAGGCTACAATTTGCAAGAGCTCACCAAAATTGAACAGTTGAAGACTGGAAAAATGTTGCCTGGTCTGATGAGTTTCGATTTCTGTTGAGACATTCAAATGTTAGAGTCAGAATTTGGCGTAAACAGAATGAGAACATGGAACCATCATGCCTTGTTACCACTGTGCAGGCTGGTGGTGGTGGTGTAATGGTGTGGGGGATGTTTTCCTGGCACACTTTAGGCCCCTTAGTGCCAATTGGGCATCGTTTAAATGCCACGGCCTACCTGAGCATTGTTTCTGACCATGTCCATCCCTTTATGGCCACCATGTACCCATCCTCTGATGGCTACTTCCACCATGTCACAAAGCTCTAATCATTTCAAATTGGTTTCTTGAACATGACAATGAGTTCACTGTACTAAAATGGCCTCCACAGTCACCAGATCTCAACCCAATAGAGCATCTTTGGGATGTGGTGGAACGGGAGATTCGCATCATGGATGTGCAGCCGACAAATCTGCGGCAACTGTGTGATGCCATCATGTCAATATGGACCAAACTCCCTGAGGAATGCTTCCAGCACCTTGTTGAATCTATGCCACGAAGAATTGAGGCAGTTCTGAAGGCAAAAGGGGGTCCAACCCGTTACTAGCATGGGGTACCTAATAAAGTGGCCGGTGAGTGTATATATACAGTATATATATATATATATATATATATATATATATATATATATATATATATACACACACATACATACACTAATAATATTACTATAATTGTAACAATAATAATAATATAAAATTATTATTATTATATAAGGAATACTATATATAAATGTATAATAATAATTAAATATATAGTAAAATAAAATGTATAAAAACAATATATATATATATATATAAATAAAATAAAGATAATGAACAAAAATAATATAATATAATGTAATGTGATATCATTTCAGAGTTACATGATCTTTTTAAAAGCCATTTCAACACACTCAACCAATTAGTAAGTTTTAAAGCAAAGCAACAATCAGGAAAAAATTGGAAAAGGCCGTACTTCTACACGGGACGGATGTTAATAGCAGGCATGATGGACAGAGCGGATCACTGATACCTTCTGGGAGCTCCGTCCTTATAGGGCTGTATGATGATGACCTTGACGGAGATGGAGGTCCTCAACAGGTCGATCATCTGTTCGTGGGTCAGCGTCGCCACCGCCACCTTGCAGATCTCCACCAGCCGACTGCCCTGCCGCAAACCGGCTTTCCACGCGTATCCGAACGGCTCCACGTCCGCCACGATGCCCTCGAAGTTCACGTGGAAGCCGAGCTGGCCGAGACCGTTCCTGCGCAGGGTCATTTCTGTGGTCTCGCAGCCGCGGGTCACGATCTGGAGCAACAGACAAATCAGCTCACAAATCACTCGTACAAATCATCAGCATCACATGACTTCATAAAAGATTTGTTTTTTGAAGCTTGACTCATCTGAAAAAAAAAAATAAGAAAAAAAGCAGCATTGACATTCTTCCCGAATTCTCCCGTTTGTGCTCCACGTAAGAAAAGAAAAGTCATATGGGTTTGCAACAACATGACGGTGGGTAAATAATGACGGAATTATTTCCGGGTGAACTATTCCTTTAAGTAGCTCCGACGTGAAGGACAGATAAATAAAAATGCCAAAAAGAGAGAAATCCAACCGGGGACGGATGCGTGAGTGTATGTTCTCTCAATCTAAAGAGCGTTTCATATGGAAATAAAGACAAGGGCACTCCAGGGAAAATGTTTTTTAGAAAGTAAAAAGCTGATCTAGAAGATGCAGTGAGTCAGCGGAGAGAAAGAAACTTCTGTCCTGAGCGAAAAGCAGGAAATGTTTACAATGAAAAGATCAGAAAAGCAAAGTTTAATAATAAAAAAAAGTCAAATTAAAGATGTTGGAAAAAAATATATAAAATAATATAATATTAAAGCTATTGAACAATCCTCTAACCCCAAGTATTAAACTTCTAATAATTAATATATATATATATATATACAAATATATACACACATTTATTTTATATAATATAACCCACATTATATTATATTAATTTGTATATAATCATTTTACATTATATTAATATTACATAATATATATATATATATATATATATATATATATATATATATCATAATATAATATTATATAAATATAAATAATATTATATTAAAGCTATTGAACAATCCTCTAACCCTAAGTATTAAACTTCTAATAATAAATATATATACAAATATATACAACCCCTAACCTCAAATATTACATTTCTACAAATAAATAAAATATATATTTAATATAATAAAGTAGCATAATATAATATAATACAATATAATTAATAACACTAAGTTTTAAACTTCTAAAAAATAAATACATTTAAAAAAATCTATAAATAAGATAAATTTTTAGTAGAAAATTTTTAGTAAAGTTTTTTTTAGTAGTGTGTGTTTCCATCCGGTGCATGACACACACCAGAGTTGAAGCCCTGCCTGTTTTGAACTGGTTTGACTGTTTTTCTTTGGGCTGTTAATGGGTGTAATTAGCAATAATCTAGTATAAACAAGGCATTCTGGTATGGTGACTGTGCCGCTCGTGAAACTACACCATCACACAATCTCCTTCACTCATTAGACAGCATTAACCTCACAGACAGCCTCCACATCAGCAGCCCGTCATGCTCTTATCAACGGGAACGGCAGTCTGACACAGGGAAGGGCTGAGAGGACATTTAAGAAAGTGCATTGATTAGTGAATGTACATTTGATTACTCAGAAGACAGAGCGAAAGGTCACAGGAGAGTGAGTGAGTCAGTAAATAACTCTGAGGAGAGGCTGATCCGTCTTAAGAGCTTTACTGTAATAAGCCGAGCTAGTGAGAGCGAGTCACCGTAAACTTCATTTGCACTTGTTAGCAGTTTTAAAGCCCCCGATTCAATGACTGACCTATTAGATTGGATGAGGCCTGACTTCTGACTTTACTTTCAACTGATATCAATTCATATAAAAATGACTTTGCATGGGTTATTTTAGAAGAGCAAAATAATCAAAGTGCACAAAATGTTAGTATTGCTTAATCTTCTTTTATAAACAGTTACAAACAAAAGATTATTCAATTTAGAAGACCAGAAAAGATTATATAAATTTATGATGTAAAAATAAAATGTTGTGTAAATATAGAATGAATACAATGTATAGCACAAAATAAAAAATATATTCATTTTCCTTCATGTAATTAATGGTCAAATGTTATGTAAACATATAATTTATAAAACGGAAAGTATAAATGAAATAATATTAATAAAAAAATAAAAAATATTTAAAGAAATTAGAAGGCCAGAAAGTATGTCAATTTTCTTTGATGTAATTAACCCTTTATCGGGCGAGGAACCATATTTGGTAACTTAATCGCGCATTCAAACTGACTCTCCCCTGCCTGTTTGCGTTATCGTATGAGTGCATATATTTCTCCTAGCCAATCAGCGAAGATCAGGCTACGTCACTGATAGTCACACCATGGCATCTGACCAATCAGAAGTTGCGCGGAGCATTTCAAACTTCAGTGTCGTTCCGGATATTGGAAAGTGAGGTTATTCGCTAATACCTACTCCCACATCAGCGCTAATAACTTCAAAACAAAAAAATGGTAAGTTGATGAAACTCACACATTCTATGGTTGAATAGTTGTGCAACATGTTGAGATAGGTGTTGTTTGCATAGATTTCTTGAAAGTAGTGACATTTGTGGCATGAAAAATGGTGAGACCATATTTGATCATACGCCCTATTCACGTAAGATTAGCGCAAGTGATAGGAAGACCATATTTGGACATACGCCCTATGCGTATAGAAAAGTCGTACTAGGGTATTTTTTCTACAAATAATGCATAATAACCACAGTCTATGATTATAATGTAGGACAATAGTATTTACTAGTGCATTGGATGTTATCACAGGTTTGAATAACATTATAAAGTGATCCAGTGGGAAACGTAACACATTTATAGACATTTTCAAGCCATATTAGATATTGAAATATGTGTGGTTTTGGTCAGTTTTATGACCTTTATAACAGTTTTTAATACTTATAATGATATTTTGCACTTCTTATTATATATTTACATATATTATGACAGACTAGTCCAATGTTACTCACTTATTTTTCTTATTATTTATATTTCAGTAGATCTGCACTTCACTGTTACTCAACAAATAACTCAAACTGGGCTTGATATTGACTCAAAAATGTACTCTCTGTTCTTTGCAGCTATCTACGCGAATCTTTTACGGCAAGAGGGAGACAGTTGTGCCAGCCCACCCCAGCATTAGTGATGATGAGGGCTCTGAGGAGGAAGATGATGATGTGGCAGACCCTGACTTCCTCCCACCCACCCACAACCTAGACACTCCAGGCCAGAGTGATATAGGCCCCTCTGCCAAGAGGTGTAATTTAATTTAAAATGTTCCTAATAATAATTTAAAATGTTACTAAATAAATATTTTTATGTTTTTAACAAGTTTATGTGTTTTTATTATATTTTTATATATACACTTTTTAAGGGGAAAAAAATTACCCTAGACTGGCGAGGAACCATATATGGTAACTTCATTGCCCTTGATTTCCAACCTAAAAAAATATATTTTTTAAAAAACTCACAAATGTTTAGAAGTCTTATAATATCCTCCAATAACACTCTATGGTTGAAATTTAGAATTTCCAAGTATTTCAATGAGTGCCCTATGGTAAAATGAAACAGAAATATATAATGAATGAAACTGATAAGATAAATAAATAAAATAATAGAATATATATATATATATATATATATATAATTACAAATTAGAAGGCCAGAAAGTATATAAAATTTATTTTAGGAAATTAATGGTCAAATGTAATGTAAATATATAATGAATGAAACTGATAAATAAATAACAGAAAATAAAAAATATAATAAGAAATTAAAAGGCCAGAAAATTCTTTGAGAAATAAATAAAGCAAATGTAAATGTATAATGAATAAAAAGCCCTATAAGAAACGATACACCCAAACAGTGTGAATAAGTATGGTATATGAATAAGGGTGATATGAAAATGTGGGAAAAGCTGAAACTGTAGAGCCTGGCGTCAGCAATGCCTGAGAACACATGAACTCATCACATGTATTCTGCAATTGCAAATCACTTTGGATAAAAGCAGCCGTCAAATATAAAATCTGACACGCACCAGTGAATCATTCACAATATGACCAGGAATGTGTATCAAGATACATTTTGATTTGAATTTGACTTTAAAACAGCCCAACCTCGTGCTTTAGACGATCAGCGAGACCCTGAAGAACTGCTGGTCGATCAGCATCAGTGTTTTAGACGGAGAGCCACAGACACTCTCACACACACCAGTGAGAAGCAAAGAGCCACAGACACTCTCACACACACCAGTGAGAAGCAAAGAGCCACAGACACTCTCACACACACCAGTGAGAAGCAAAGAGCTACAGACACTCTCACACACACCAGTGAGAAGCAAAGAGCCACAGACACTCTCACACACACCAGTGAGAAGCAAAGAGCCACAGACACTCTCACACACACCAGTGAGAAGCAAAGAGCTACAGACACTCTCACACACACCAGTGAGAAGCAAAGAGCCACAGACACTCTCACACACACCAGTGAGAAGCAAAGAGCCACAGACACTCTCACACACACCAGTGAGAAGCAAAGAGCTACAGACACTCTCACACACACCAGCACTGTAAAAAAAATCCCGTTGTTTTTACGGAAAAAAACTGGCAGCTGTGGTTACCAGAACTTTTCCGTCAAAAATACGGTATCAACGTTTTTGGTTTTACAGACTTAACGTAAAATTTACAGTATTAAACCATAATTCATTATCTGATATAATGATTATTTACCAACCTATTGAAGTATTAATATCTGTTTTGTACCATTGTAATACACTGACAACCAACAACCATCACAGCAGTGATGAGAGTCACATGTTAAATCAAAGCTCATCACAAGCAATCTTCCACAAGTGAGTTAATAGTATTATATAGAAGCTGCACAGTGTTATTCGCACAAACATTAAACACCATCATGGTAACACACATGAAATTTTAAAAATGCAATAAACATTAATTTAACAACATTAAATGTAACATAAAACCCTAATGTACATAACTGATTAGAAAAGAACTACGAAAACTAAGAAGAAACATAGTTATTTCAACAAAAATAAATCAAATGTGAAGTGTCACACAGGGAATTGTGGGAATGTAAATTTACGGTTTTTCACTGTAAATTATACAATGAGTTGTTCTTTTTCACTTTCAAAAACTGTAAATTTAACAGTATTTTACAGT